GCGACTGGGCGACATCCAGTGACACCGTCATCCCTATTAGTTCAGCCTAAGGCGGCAGCCTTTGGCGACAACGATGCAGACTCAGAACTTCGGCGCCTCCAAAGCATTTGGCAGTACGTTGCAGATGTGACGGCCCTCGGCCAGGAAGAGGCGGCTGAACGTTATGACCGGAAGGTCAACATGGTGGAGTTCAAGCCCGGCGACTGGGTGGTGGTCTCCATCAAGGCGGTGCGGTCACCCACAGATCGTGCCACACACTCCTCGAAATTGGGCGCCCGTTGCATTGGGCCATTCAAGGTACTCGAGCGCGTGAGCGCGAATGCATATCGACTTGAGCTGCCGAACGACGTCCGCGCCCATCCAGTTATCAACATCGAGCATCTACGCCGTTACCACCTTCCGGCAAATGCAGCAGAGGACTTCCGTCCTGCTCCAGTTTCTCGTGACTCATATGGCGAGTACTATCTAGTCGAGACTTTGCTCGACAAGCGCACTGTGCGGCCCAAGGGCCGTGCGGGCCGTCCTCGTATCGAGTATCTCGTCAAGTGGATGGGTTACTCAAAGGAGGAGGCAACCTGGGAACCTAGGGCCAGCCTTCACGATTTTTACATCAAGGAGTTCGAAGCTGCCCGCCCTCGTACCTGAGTTTCACACGGTCAAGTGTACCCCATTTTGCGTGCTTGCATGAATCATGAAACTTGCATTTTTTTTCTCTCATCCTTGTTTCCCTTTTTGTTCTCAGCGTGCCTTCGCCATTTCTTCCGTTTGTCTCTGAACCATCCTCGCCGGATCGGGGCTCCGGCTGGCGAGGGGGGGTGTTAGCGTCAAATCCGTGCTTCCACGCATTTGAACACTCCCACTGCTTTCGCACACACTCAGCATCGGTCGCTATGGGTCTTCCTATTGGTATTCCATAGCTACGACGACCTCACACATTGACACCTACTTTTGGACCCCCTGGGCTTGATCCTCCTCGTGGCAGTCACATGAGTAAACACCGCGTGTGACGCGGTCCCCACGATGCCTGGGCAGCTGCCCTGGGGCAATAAGCTTGTGGCTACTGTTGTTTCCCTTTGTTGTGACACCTGCGGTCGGGCACGAGTTGCACTTTCCCTATCCTCGGGATTGAGCGACTCTACAGCTATTCTAACGGTGCACCTGGTCTGGTCACTGTGAATGCTTGCCGACCGCAGGTACGTCAAGCCCTCTGCCATTCTGTCTTCCCCTTGCTCTCCTGTGTGCTCTGCTCTCTTGTGACTTTCCCTATCCTCGGGATTGAGCGACTCTACAGCTATTCTAACGGTGCACCTGGTCTGGTCACTGTGAATGCTTGCCGACCGCAGCTGGTTCAATTGACCTCAAGACACCACCAAAGCTTTCGCTCCGCTCCGACGGACGTCTCTCAAACCTCTCTCAAAACGCTTCCTCAAACCTACGCGCTTCCTCGCAACCCAAAGACGGCCTCCAGACGTGCTGGAGCCTGACAATTTTTTTTTTTTATTGGATTCTTTTTTTGGTTCTTTCTTTTGATTTGTTTAACGCTGTCCATGCTCTGGAAGCCTTAAGCCCGTGGTCGAGCATTCGAGTATTCTAGATATTTTTCAAGAATTTGCCACAGCTTGGCATCAGGTGCCACGCAGCCGACTTGCATCTTGCGTTTTTCACGGCTTAGTTTAATTTTTTTTTTTCCCTGCAGGCAAGTAAGGTGATGATGAAGTTGTAGATGTTGCATGGAATTTGGTTGAGGTGATGAGAGCTGATTGACCGCTTCTCAAGCTTCTCAACAAGTGAAGGGATTACAGCCGCGATGAATTTTTGCAGATTGGGTGTCATGGTCGTTTCTGCTTGATTGAGATTTACGCTCGAGACTCAAGACCCGACTCGACTTGAAGAAAAAATAGGAGAAGAGAAGCAGGAGATAAAAAAGGTGCAAAGACTCAACAAAATGCCATCCCTAACATTCAAACCACTCGACTACCAAACACGCGCGCATCAACGTCAATGGGGGAAGTGCACGCCTTGGACAAACAGATGGGTGTCTTGTGCGCCCATCAAAGCTGACCATCTAAAAACCGGGCAAGGGGCTGAAACACTTGGTCGGCCACGCCTGTTTGCAGCCTATCGCAGAACCTTGGCCACCAACTCATAGACAAAGAAGAGGACAGCGTTGGAAGGCATGGCGCGACCCACGGTGATGGCCCAGCCCTACGGGAAAATCAGGGGCAAGCATGAAGGAAGTGAAGCTACGACGCATGCGTGCTTATCAAGCAAAGAAAAGGAACGCAAGGCGGAGGCGTCAAGCGCACCTTGTAAAGGCCACGCGCTCCTTCTGTGCGGAGAATGTGCATAAAGACGGTTCCAAACCCTTGGCCACGGATGGCAGGGTTGGTCTGCTGCTGAGATTTGACCTGTCAACAAAATCAACCATGGCCGGGGGTCAGGCGAAACAAGATCAAGCAAACCACCAGATCAGATGCACACGCGAAACAACGAGAGCATTGCGCGGCGGAAGCTCTCGAAAGAGATGGCAGACCACGACGAACCGTATCAGCAGGATAAAACGCCGTCCAATAGGCCATGCCACTCATGCCACCAGCCATCTATTGAGCAAAATCGGGTTCGAAGCGATGATTGGTTGGTACACAAAGAAGGGGTACGAGATTGGTGTGAGAGGCGGCGTCGATAGGTCGTTTGCAGCCGTCAGACAAAGAGCTTACCGCAACCTTCCAGCCTGGGATGTCATCGCGCGTTTTGCCTTCGGGCGTGAAATACTATGGTGAACAACGCAGCATTGCATTGCGGGTGTGAGAGCAGCAAGGGTAAGACGAGCAAAGGTAGGATGTGCCCGCCCGCGGGGAGCCAATGCAACATACACGGCACAGTGTCTCATAGACGGTGTACCAGGCCATGTTGCCAGGAGCCTCACGCATGAGTGTGGCCAGATGACCTCGGTAGAGGCCGCCGATGACGCCTTCAGTGCGCACCGTCTACATCAAGTGTTTGAATTGGCGGGTGAGCACTGAAATGGGTGTGGGGAGAGTGCCTGATGAGGGCAACGTAGTGCACTTTCACCTGGGTGATACAATGCCAAGGGCCGCGGTAAATTTGCGGATTTCCAGGAACTGATTGAATCTGGAACCCGCACACATGCAGAATGGTGAGTCGACGCTGGTGTTCATCCCGACTTGTGGTATCCGGTTTGGTGCATGGTGTCGAAGTAAGGCATTAGTGGGCACTGCAACGCACCTGGAGCTTGCACTTGATGAGTTCCACTGGGGTGAGAACAAAAGAGACACCGATACCGGCTGCCAAGCCGCCGAGTGCCGAACGAAAGATGCCATCGGCCATGCCGTTGCGGTCCAGCTTGGCGACAGTGGTTTTGTAGCTCGAGAAGAGCACGGCATTTTCGGCCATGGAGCCCAGCAGGGGCGTGGTCAAGCCCTAGGAGCAGAGCCATTCATGGAGAGGTGCCCAGAGTACGCATGTGAAAAGTGAGGTCGTGCTCATGACAAGGGGGAGCGGGTTTAAGGCCCGCGGGATCACGGAGCAGAGAGAACGTACGCGATAGAGCGAAAAGACACCCTTGTGAGCGATGGTGGTCTTGATGCAGTCGATCGGCCCGCTGAAGCGTTTCTGCAAAACGAGAGCCATGCGGAGGAGTGAGTGTAGCACGAGGCTGAAGCGGATCATTGCGTTGGGGCTTTGGACACGGGACATACGCCTTGGGTTTGCAGCATGACTTTGACGGTATCAAAGGGAAACTCAACGAGTTTGCAGGCAAAACCGGCCACCTGAGAATTGTAGGCAAGCATTTGAGTTTGGTGTGCGTGGCTGGCAGACAAGCGATCTGCTCTGTCTGCTTGTCAACTGGACAAAAATCTGCTTCTTCGATCTTATTTTATTCCGCCAATGTCTTTCTGGTCTTGCCTGGCTGGGACACTCTCTTTGGACGGGGTCGAGTGTGCAGGAGAAGGGAAGGGGCACTGACCGATCCGGCGGCAAAATTTTTGACAGCAATCAGGGTGTCACTGGGGGCCGCGGCCGCAGCCTCGGCGGCGGGCACGGGCGTATTCGCAACACTCATGGCGGACGGTTCGTTGATGCTGTAGTTTGGGACAACAAAGCGTAAGGCGGGCGTCAGGTGGCAGCAAGGGGCGCTTCTAACCACAAACGGGCTGCCAAAAAACCCTGAGCAGACCTGCTCAAGCACGAATCAATCAAAGAGTCCGCAGAGACGCAGAAAAGGCGAGAGCAACCAAAAAAAAAAGCAAAAGCACGTGTAGCAGAAAAAAAGTGAGCGAACAAATGAGCAAGAAACTGCAGAGCCGACCTTTACATGTCCAACACAAAGGCAGCAGCATTTTGAGACCCATCACAGCGGGTTCATCCCGTAGGGGGCCCATTACAGACAGAGAGAGAGAGAGAGAGAGCGAGAGAGAGGAGAGAGAGAGCGAGAGCGAGAGAGACAGAGAGAGAGGTACCTGAAGGGGTTTAGCTTGTGGTTGGTTTCTGTCACTGGCACACGAAAAAGTTTTTGCAGTTGATGCTGAATCCTGATGACTGGTTTGCAGCAACACACAAAAGAGATGTGTGTGTGTGTGTGTGTGTATGTTTTCGTCCCTTTGCGCATGCATGTGAAAGACTCCTCCTCTTCGGCTTGAGATGTCAGACGGGTTTGTCGTAATGTCAGAATAAAATTGCAGCCGAAAAAACAACACGGCCCAGCACTACAGGTACAATGTCATGGCACAAAAAGGTTGCGTCCCCCTGCAAGAGTGCGTCTCAGACGCCAGGTCCTTGTCGAGGGGAAGGGCGGGGGCTTGTGCTTCTTCAGCTCGAGGCGCCCTCAGCCTCGGTCTAATGATGCCACAGTGCTCTCCATTTGGGCTCGAAGGGCCAAGAAGCGATGAAGAGGGATGGGGTGTGCTAGCATCGGCTCAAACGCTGCGTTTTGGGCCTGTACCGCTGGGTCGGCCAGCTGCTCGGCCCAAAACTGCAGCGCCCCATGGCCATAACCCGCTGCTGCCGCCATTTGATCGGCCTCGAGCTCCTGACGTCGAGCGTAGGCTTGCAGACTGAAAAAGGCACCTGGCAGGCCCAGGACGGGCGCCAAACCAGCCACGCCCACGCGCAAGCCGAGTCCAAAGCGCAAGAGGGGCGCCACTGCCACCAGCAAGCCACCTAAAAGTAACTGCAGGCCCTGCCGCTTAATATGGTGGTTGCAAGCCAGGTGGGCCATTTCGTGCGCCAGAACGTAACGATCAGGTGGTTGCAGCACCGTGTTGTAGTACGCATCCGGGTGAAAGGGGGCCAGGGCTGCGTCGGTCGACTCAAAGGGATCCTCGACACGCACTCGGCTCAGCGTGTAGTTGAGCACGAGTGACTCGGGAATAACCAGGTACTGATGCTCGCCAAACCAAAACGAGCCCGCCGAAGCTGCGAAAAAGCCTGTGCGATGCGGAACCACAGCCACGTGCAATTGCTCCAAGCTATGCAAACCCAGTCGTTGTGCCATGGCACGCAGTTCGAGCACCAGTTCATCACGCAGTGGCTGTACCTTCATGCCGAGACGCCGCTCCCGCATCCATGTCCAGGCGTAAATGTGCGCTCCCAGTTGACCGCGGATGCTCTGCTCATTGTACCAATTCAAGACGGGGCTCAAACCTCCCGTCACCAACGCTGCCGAGCCCAGCGCCGCCACGCCGGCCAGTGCCCGACCCACCACACGCCCTGCTGTCATGACGAGAGATGGAAAAAAAAAAAAAAAAAAAAACAGGAACACTGCCTTGCCAAATCTGTCTGACAAATACACTTAAGTATTTTACATCTCGCAGCATCAGATTCTTTTGGGCTCAACGGTCACAAGAGCACACACACACACACACTCTCGCGGCGCGCGCTTCTCTGGGGATCGGCACCCGTGACCCCCCGACTTCCTGTCTGCTCAGTGTGGCTGTTTGTACTGGGTTGGGATTGGTGAGCCATGGCTGATTCACCGCCGCTGGATTCGCCTGACCCCGTGTCACTTTCAGTGACTGGTCTCGCGGCCCCTTCGCAAAGATCAGCGGACAGTGGAGGCGCGAGCCGGGGCGTGTGGACGTCCTCGCCTCGCCGACCAGTCACCTCAACGACCGCTGATAGTGCCCATGCCATCGGGGGCGGTCAGCAAAAAATCTCCAACCTTGGTGATGGTGATGCTGTTCGGCGCACCTTTGAGGAGAGGCTGCGACGTCTCGCCCACATTTCTGTTCACCAGTCCACTACCGACCATCGTCCGGAAGCGGCTCCGTCCTCGGTTCGCGTCGCTCCCCTCCGGCGTCGCCCCCTGCTCGCCTCCCTCAAGACGATGCTCGATTCATTCAAGACTCTCTCATCGTTGTCCTCGCCCTTCCTTCTGCTGTTGACCGCTCTTTTGTGGCGATGATCTGCACAGGTCAACCTTGATGCTGATCGCTTTTCGACTCCCGCAGCTGGCATTGCTCCTGCCATGCCTGCCACGACGGTCAACAACGTGCAGAACAGCACGCGGCACATCAACGCAACCACCCGCATACATGACACACACCACCACACCTGGCAGAATACCACTTCCGAGTCCTACGATGAACTGAGCCGTATCCGCCTTCAGTTGCGTCAACTTCGGGCCGACAATGTACGTAGAGGCTCGATTGCATCGCTCAAGTGTCAATATCGATCAATCTGTTTTGCTTGCCTTCGTATGTTTGTCAGTGGGAAACTCAGCAACCATTTGTCTGTCTTGCCTCTGCCTTACCTCATGGCCAATGACCACCCGACGCCACCTTCGCATTTGGCTTCACACTCTTTGACTACTAAAACAGTCCCATGCCGACGACATTGTACGCATTGCCCTCCATCTCGCCACCCCTTGCTCGTGCACAGGCCGGCGATGCTGATGCTTGCCAATCTGTTTGCGTATGTGCGTGTGGCTGTTGCCATGTCTAACCGAATCCCGCCTCCCTTAGACGCGCGAGGAACTCGATCGCTCGTTTAAAGTATTTGAACACGAGCGCCAGCAGTGGCGTGTCAAAGAGACTGAACTCGTACGTCGATGCCTGTGCTGTCAAGGACTCAGTCGGCTGGCCTCAAGTTTCTGATGACTTGCCCTTCGTGCATCGAGCCTTGCCTTGCTTGCTCTGCTATTTGGGTGCCCTTGACTGCCGGTTTGTCTCAATTGCCCGAGCAGATACATCAGTTGCAGGCACTCCTCAACGAAAATGCCACGCTCAAGCACCAGGCCAACCTTCGATCAGAGTCCATCGTGCACTTTGAGGGTGAGCTTAGCGAAGCCGTCAGTGCCATGTCAACTGAGCGCCAACATTGGTTGCACGAGCGTGAGGCTCTCGAAGATCGAGTCAGTAGCTTGCAAGACGAGATTAAGAGCATGCGCCAGCAGGTGAGCCCTTTGCTACGGCCCCGCTCTCGACACCCCGTTCATTTCGCGTGGGACTGCATTGGCATTTTTTGCTCGGCCATTTCTCATGACTGGGGTGGAACGGCGTGCGGGGATCAATATAGCTGTCGCGTGAGCAACAGCAGGGTGATGCGTTGCGTGCACGCTGCGAGCACTTGCAGAGTCGGAATGATAATCTCTCTCAGGTAGAGCTTGAATTTGTCAAACAGCATTTTGGGAGGCAAGCCCTTTCAGCAGCTGCGGTCTATGTGCTATTACCTTGGCGTCAAAACACATTTGCTTTCGTGTGTCATTCCTTAGGAGGTAGATAGCTTTCAAATCACCTTGCGCAAGGAGCGTCTGCAGTGGGAGTCCACGACCAATCAGGTTGGCATGACTGTTTTGGGTGGTCCCTTCCTCACAATGGCTGTTGCCTACTCGGCTGGATGAGCCTCGGCCTTGAGGCTGCACACAACGAGCTCACTACCTCGTCTGCATGGCTGGACAGGTACAAGCCGAATTAGAGACCTTTCAAAACACAGCGCAGGGTGAACGGCAACAACTCAAGGCTGAGGTGGACCGTCTGAGGCGCGACATGGAAGATGCAGAGGTGCGGCTGGTGTAATCACGAGCTATTGAACAAGCCCCACAGCTTTTTGAGCCTAGATTTTCTGGAATGAAAGAAAAAGAAAAAAAAAAGGAAAAAAAGCTAAAAAACTGCCACGTTTCGTGCTGTTGCGGGGGGTTTTTTTTTGCTGAAATTGCCGGCCTTGTGCACTGCTCGGCCACAGAACAAAGTTGTGCGCCTGGAAGGTGATCTTCAGCGGGCGACACAGGATGGCAATGCTGCGCGACGCGAAGCCGAGATGCTGCGGGACGATCTGGCGCAAGCCGAGGTTGGGAGACTTGATGTACATAAAGTCTTTGACTTTTCTTTTCGCTTTGTTGACTGTTGGTACTGTACCACTCACTCTTGATCAACTGATGGTGATGCAGGAGCGCCACGCCGCCGAATTTGAGGCCCAGGCAGCGACTCTGCGGGCTCAGCTCGAGGCCCAATTCCATACCCGTCTGGCAGAGCAACAGGACAAGGCCGCGCAGGCGGAAATGCAGGCCTTGGAAACACATCAAGAGCAGCTCACCTCCATCACCAAACGCCATCAGCAAGAACTGGAAAAACAACAAGATGATTTCTCCCGCGTAAGCTTGTGATCCTTAGCTCAGGCTCCCCCTAGACTCTTTGACGGGGCAGCCTCTGACAATCATCGGGCACTTAGGAGGAGGCGGCTTTGCGACGTGATTTTACGCAGACGATCCGCGAGCGCGATGAATTGGTAGCGCGCCTCGAGGCCAGGTAGGGCCATCGCCAAGCGAGGAACAACTGACCATGGCCTGCCTTTCTCATGTACTTGATGGACGGACGACAATCACGATCATGCAGTTGCGCCAAGCTGCAGCTGGCTGCAGACACCCACAAAGCACACGCTCAAGAGGTGGTGACCAGTCATGCACACCTAGCACGTCAGCTGCAGCAACAGCTTGATGCACACCACCACGGCTACCGCACGATCTTGCAGCAGATTCAGACCTCTGGGTGAGTGCCAGACTGAGTCGAGTGCTCGCCCTGGGCTTTGCAATGGTGACGGTCTCATGCTGGTACGTGGCATGCGAGAAAGGACCGTGCACAGTTCAGAGCCAGTAAGTGAGCCATCTATGGCGACAGCTGCACCCTTATCGCTGGGCGATTTGACGCGAGAGACACGTTCGGGTGCTGCATTGGGGGCCGAGACCGAGCACGCGTCTACCAGCGTCACGGAGCACCGTCTGGACTTTGACCAGCAACTGGGTTAGTCGGCGTATGGCTGAGTACCCCCCGCCTGAGCATGTCTGTGTCAGGGGCTCACGCTGGGCACTTGTGCAGCAAGCATCTTGCGTGGGTCGTTTGCCAAGTTACCAGCTCGTCCCATGATGTCATCGGCCGCATTCGCAGAGTAAGTATCTGCAATTGTCTCGATCCAGTGGGGCTCGTTAGCATACTTGTGCACACGCGGGTGCGAGATGCCCGGACACTGGTGTCGTTGTGAGAAGCTACTGGCGTAGGGAGCCTAACAATTGGATGCTGATGGCTACCTCCCCCCCATCCTTTAGCCACGAACAGGTCCATGGGATTCGGGCAGGCGCTGCTGCATCTCCCGAGCAGCAGCGCCGCACTCGCATGCAAAATACGCCCTCCCAAGGCCAACAAGAGCACCGAAGCGCAGCTGGTGGGCATCCTCAAGCAAGTGGAACAACCGGCAGCATTGCTAACCCCCGTCGCGACTACGACAAGCCTTGGCTATCCCACATGTCCAACTCACAGCCACGCACTGACGGATCCGCTCCAACGGCCACATCGACCTCCCGAGCATAACCCGTCGTCTTTGCACACCCATCCTTTTTTTTTTCCTGCCTCGACTCTAACGATGAGCCTGCCCGTTCCTCACTCTGTCGCACTCGCGTGCCGACAGTCTCTAGCTGCCAAAGCAAATTGAGTTGCGGTGCCCTATTCTTCAAGGGTGACGCATCTCCATAGCAGTAAAGCATAGAAATAAACCTCTCACTCAACACTAAAACTTGATGTTCACAACTTTTTTTGAATTTTGAGATTGAAAATAAAATTTTGATGAAGACAGAGTTTCAAGCACGGCCAAGGTCGGACGAGGATGAGACACGGCGCAATGCCCAAGCGCTTGAATCCGGCGAGCTGGTGCGGCTGGGATGGTGCCAACGAGATCATGGCGGGTGGCGGGGTTTTCAGAAACCAAACTTTTGCCAGCTTCGTCCGAATTTGGTGCGGGATCACGGACAACCCGGACCAACAGCAGCACCACCTGGCTCAAATTCGCAACGACTCAACCTAGAGTCATACCGCGACGAAGACCAACCGAATCTCCATCCTGACGTTGGGTGCAGCGCTGCTACTGCATGTGCGTGTGTGTATGAAAAAAAAAAAAAAAAAGGTGGAAAGCAACGGTGAAGATGCCCTTTTCTCTCTCACACTTTCTCCTCTGTATGGTCTCGGGCTTACGGTCGAGACCAGTCAAGATCGGTGCCCGAGTAGCTTTGTGCGCTGGGCGGCGACTTTGCGGACACCTCTGGCTCTTTTAGAGTAGCAAGGGCGAGTGTTCTCCTCGTTCATTGGTGGCGCACAGTGCCTCCCTGTCACCTGGTTTTGCACGAGGCTGGGAACGAGGGTGCTGCCGGACGAACGTTGTGCGTTCCAGCTTTTCGCACACAAGCCAGCGCCAGCCAACTCCGTCTGCAGCTTGGAGGCTGGTCAAGACCCGGGGCATGTTAGCGGGTGTGGAGTGCGTGGCACATCCTTGAGCTGAGCACTGCTGCAGTCGTCTGGCGTCGAGCTCCGAAGGGGGTCATTTCGCTCTCACCCACGGCTGCTGACGCTGCTGGTAGCTCGCGATCATCGGCTTTTTTTGAGTCGATCAACTGAAGCGCAGCCGCACACACACATGCGTCTGCTGCCTTCAACTTGATTTTTCTAAAGCTTGGCAACATGTCTTCCTTCTTTCAAACCTCACTGGCATCGAGTTTGTTGTTGCTGCTTCTTCTGGCGCTGCGCGTGCGAGAGGTGCGTGACGACGGTCCAGCTCCCAATTCATGTCTGCTCCAGCGTTGGGTTGACGCAACCCTGTGCCTGTCACCTTTACCATCTGTGCTGTGGGATTTTCATGGTCACTTTGCTGACCCTCATCCCATGTCCGGTTTACGCAGGTCCATACGACCGGGAGTTTGATCGACGGTGCCCTTTATCCCACCCCGCTGCCCACTTTCCAGTCCTCGGGCTCGGGTGAAGCCGATTGGGACGACGATCGCCCTGACCTGGCTGATGATGATACCTCGGACTCATCAGGGGCCGGATCGGGGTCGGGTTGGAGTGAAATGACTACCCACTCGACCAGCGGCTTCGCCTCCACTGGCAATGGTGGCAGAACCACGACGTCTCCGTCTCCGTCAGCGTCGCGACCCACCTTGGTCCCGACACTGTCGCCAAGCACTCTCAGCCCGGTGCCCAGCACAATTGAAGCCACGACGCGCTCACCTCAACGGATCAGCTTCCGCTATATCCCTGATCAGGCTCAGCTTTGGCTGCAGATGAACCCGCCTGTCTTATGGTCGTCAATCAATGCAAGCCGTCTGGCGTTGTTTGATACGGTGTGTTGCATGCATTGGTTTTGGGGGCGCAGGCTCTTGCTGCAGATTCTTGAGCATGGTCCATTGCGGCTTTGTCCATCTCTCACGTGGATACCCACACGCCCGCTCTGTTTCGTCTGCTGGGCGGTTGCGGTCACGCCTTTTTTTTTTTTTTTTTCCTTTTCAACTTGTACATGTTAGAATCACCCGTCTTTGACGCTGTTCCACCTCACCGCTGCGCGGTTGGTGCGACCCCGCGACCAGCGACGGGCTGGTCAGTCTCTTTTCTCCTCATTCGAGTCTAGAATCATTGGCATCGTTACATCCACAGCTCACCACGGTCCAAATGCCTCTGAATGAACGACATCACAGCAGGCGTCACGTCGTGCGCAATCGTGTTGTCACCAGCCCACGCCCAGCGTGTGGCATCGTTTGGACAGCTAGGGTATGATTGCATCCTCTGATTCTGTGGCCCAAATGCTCCGTGCCCGGTTCTGTCTCGATGCGCTTTAGTCAGGCGGCTCACTTTCCTGGTGGCTACACTCGTTCACTCACAGGCTGGAGGCCCTGGCTGGCTTTGCGCAAACAACCTCTGGGCAGATGTTTATAGTCGACGCCTCGGATGCTCGCAACGACCCCTCGTTGACACTGGAGCTGGCCTCGACAGCCACACCACCGGTTGCAGCAACGATTCCGACCGCACCGGGCACAACATCAGGGGATAAATCCGGTGCATCCACCCTGGGCATTGGAATCGGAGTGGGCGTGGGTGGAGCCCTTCTCCTGGGACTATTGTGTAGTTTTCTGATGCTTCGGGCACGCCGCCGCCAGGGATACTCGCGCTCTGACTTCAATGCGGGCTACCAACGCTTTGAGAAGGAGTGGTTGACCGCCGTGCGCGGCGCTATGGGGGCGTCACCGAAAATGCCACCACGTGCGGCCTCCATCAAAACAACTTTCAATCCTCCCGCACTAGATTCAGTGTCACCGCAAATGAGCTCAACGCCCATCAAGCCCGGCCCATGGTTGGCCCCCCCACTCATCACCCCTGAGGCTGGGCCTACCCTCAAGGCCCCGGCGCTCGCGCTGGCGCAAGCCGATGAGGGATATGTTTGGGACAACTTTGTGCAGCCGGATCTTGACGTGGTGGCCGTGCGCGATCACGTGACTCGCAACCCCAATCTTCTCTCCTTCCATGCCGGGGAGCAGTTGCGTGTCACACAGCGCTCGCGCTATGCTGGGTTTGTTTATGCAACCAATGCGGCCGGACACAGCGGGCTCGTGGCCCAACACTTTTTGGACCGCGATATCGGCGATCTCCTCTCGTTTGACGTTCACGTTTAGCCCCACCTGCTCTCCAGCTATCCGATGGCGGCGCGAGACACTTTGCGAGGTCCACCTCGTTGAACTGTGCCCAGCGCTCCCTCTCGACGGAGCTAATAATCGTCGACCATGGGTATCATTCATTCACGTTCCCACCCTTCTTGCCCTTTTCTTTTTTGACTTGTCTTGCACTTGGTGCATCCAGCCTTTAGGACAGCAGCTTGTCATCAGCGCTCCTATTAAACCGTCTGTTGTTGATCTTTGTTCGTTCGACTTCTGATTTCTGATTTCGTTTTCTTGAGTTTTTTTCGTGCCCACAACGTTCCGTGCACAAATCGATGCTGACATATAATTTTGTCTGACGTTTTGCTTCACCAGTTGATGGTTGAAAATTTGTATCAACTTATCCAGGTTTTTCCACTGAAAGTAATAGTGATGAGGCCACGCGGCTTGAACCACTTGTCGTTGCGGTCGTGAGCACTTTCTCGCGCCACCCACAGCGACCGAGCACGATGGCGGCCTTCTCGCTCGGTGACCTCCACATCAACGAGGCTGGATGGGGCCCTGAGGGCGGTCCCAAGAAGTTTGAGGGCATCCCGTATCAGCCCTTCCGCAAGACGGATCGCATTGCCACCGCTGCTGACTTTGTCTCCAGCATGGGTCCCCGCGCTGGTGCGTCACTTGCTCGCCTTGCTCAGATGCGCGCCTCTTCGGACACCTCAACGGCGAGCGGCCTGGCCAGTGCGGTCGAGCCCCTCGGTCGTGTCAAGAGGGTGGATGAGGCGCTGCTTGGGCAGATCATCTTGGTGCTCTTGCCCGTTTGTTGTCATGATCCGCTTCATGATCGCGCTCACTCAAGTGTCTTGCTGGCCCTTTCTTCTGATTCTTGACCTTTTATGTATAATAGCGCGCACGAACCGCATTTACGGCGATGGTGAAGCCTTTGCCTATTACCACGACGATGACAGTAGCTTCCGCCTCGTGGACACGGCCAAGGCCCGCCCCACCTTCCGCACCCAGAAGAAGTGGCAGGTAGGCATGCTCGCTCGTCACAGCACACACCTCGAGAAGCCTCCCATCACTCGTCACACTACAAGTGGGAGATACCCCGCTTGTTTCCCGCTCGTCTCGCATTGCTTTTGTTTTCGAGCCCTGTAAAACGCATGGCTCATCCAGAGAGAATTACGCCGGGAGAGCCCCTGCAATTTGTTTTGCAGGGGGCTTTTTGTCCCTACTTTCCCGGCGTCCAGACACTCTGGTACACATGAGAGGGGGTTCGTCGGTTGACCTGTGGCGGGCTGGTGTTTTATCAGTCTGCTTAGGGCTGTGGTTCCGTCTCGGGACTGCAGTGTGGCAGCAGTGGAAGCAATTTCATCGTTGTCGCTCAGCCGAGCCGCGCCCCCTTACGCAGAAGTCCTTAAGACTGGAATGCATGTTCGCGCAACACAGATGCTTACTGCATTGGATTGCTTCCATTCGAGTCATGCTTTTGCAAAACCACCTTTTATCCTTGTTATGAAGCACATCTTTTGGCGTCACATGCCATGGCTCGGCGTTCACTCGTGCCTGTCTTGACGCTGTTTTCTCCTTTGTGTGTGTAGAACAAGAACCGCCGTCACGTCCGAACAGATCCCAACCGCGGCGTTCAGCAACTCGCATACAACAAGAACCGCGAGCGCGATCGTCGGGCACTCGAGCGCAAGCTGCAAAAGAAGTGGGGACAGACCGCCCAGCGCCGCTTCGACCGCAACATCAGCCGCAAGCTCGAGGCATCTCTCGATGTCCGACCCAGCTGGGAGCTTCTCGAGGACATTGAATTTGCCAAGTTTGCCAAGTTCAAAACCGCCATTCCCGAGGTGTCTGACTATAAGAAGGCGGGTGAACTGTACTTCTTGGACCAGGCCAAGGAGAAGACTGTGCCGAAGCGCCCTGTGTAAGTTTTGGCCGATCGTTGCCGCTCATGACCGATTTAATCGACTGCTTGCCACTGATGGACGCCATGCCTGCTCACCTGGCATTGTGCTCACCTGGCATTATGACGTGTAGTGAGGTCCCCCCGGACTTTACTGGAGAGTACGACCCCTTCAGTGTGCCCGCTTCAGAAGATCCCGTGCTCCAGAAGATTGATCGCATTGGCCGTGCCAACGTGTTTGCGACGGACGACGTCTTGGCTACGTTCATGGCCGCTACCCGCAGCCACTACTCGTGGGATATTGTTGCCACCAAAAAGGATGGCAAGATTTACTTTGACAAGCGCCCGGGTGCCGTCATTGACATGCTTTCTGTGGACGAGACTGCTTTCCAGCCGCCCAGCGATGAGGGTGACTCGCCCAACGCGCCCGGTAACCTCTCCGTGGAGGCTACCCATGTCAATCAGATGTTCAAGGATTTTGCCGTCAACAAATCGGTAGGTCACTCAAGGATGGAGAGATTTTTGCCCGCCCTTGCTTTTATCGCAGCTTTGTGAATTGTGGCCAGGTTCTCAGGGCGGCTCAATCTTAATCACAAACCGTGCTGATCCCCACCATGTCCGATTGATATCTTATAGGGTCCCAAGAAGGAAATGAAGTCTGCTCACGACTTCAAGGAGGAGGCTGACATGTCTGTGGCCTACCGGTACCGCGTCTGGGATCTGGGATCTGGCATTCAGCTGGCGGCACGCACGCAGCATGATGCCATGGCCACCGGCAAGGATGGCAAGTCAGAGTACTGCTCAGTCAACACGCTGCTGGAGCGCGTGGGCAAGGGCACGACCCTCGACTGGCGCACTGTGTTGGCCTCGCAGAAAACCGCCGTTTTGGCCTCGCAGCTCAAGGACAACGCTTTCAAGCTTGCACGATGGACCATCTGCAGCCTTTTGGGTAACAACTCCACCATGCGCCTGGGCTACGTTTCGCGTGCCAATCCGGCCTCGCCTCGCAAGCACGTCTTGCTCAAGGTTGACTCCTTCCGCACGGAGAAGTTTGCGGAACAGATTGGCGTCAACATGGCCAACGGTTGGGGTAAGTCTGTGATCTTTGTTATCCAATGGCCATGGACAGATGTTCTGGATCTTCGTCCAATCCTCACGTGACCGCATTTGCGCTTGTTCGCCTTTTTTTTCCCCCTTGAAGGCATCGTCAAGTCGATGATTGTGCGCCTGCAAAAGCACGGCGATGGTCAATACGTCCTCATGAAGGACCCCGGAGAGGTGTGTCGAGATTGCTTGCATGTCTTTGTCTGCGTCGTGTAGAACTCCCCCCGGCAAGCATAGATTTTCACGTGCGCTCGCCTCGGACTCATTGGCATGCTTGTTTTTTTTCATTGCTGCTTTTGTCTTGTCTTTTTTAGCCCATGCTCAAGATGTACCGCCTTCCCGAGGAAGGCCTAGCAGAGGGCATTGAGGATGATGGCACTGAGGATGGCCAGTCTTCGTCCATGGCTGCGGGCATTTTCGGCGGCTCAGCCAACATGTAGTAAACACATGTTTGATGCGCTCTGATTTCTCACCTCGTTCATGGAGGATGAGTAAAGCAAAGCTTTGTTTTTCTACCTTACCTTTCAAAACAGCCATGGAGAACTGTATAGCACTTCATGCCTTCTTTTCCTTCGGGGGTCTGTTTGGTACAGCCGACGCAGTGTTGTTCGTTTGTGTGGCCCGTCAGTTGTCAACCACTCCTTTGGTAATCATGGGGCAGCTGTCTGCTAGGATTCTCTAACAAAAAAAAATCAATATTGAAATTCTACTTGACAAGGTTTTGGCTGTTGTTGATGAGCCGGGTCGGTGAGGTGGCCAGTTGTAGCATGACACGATCGAAGACAGCTGGGTCTGTTTGCATCAAAATGCGGCGCATAGCGAGGTTGGCGTTGCGCATTTCCCTGATGGCAGTCGATGAGCAAAGGGAAAGATGATGAGTTCTATAGTGCCTCTCTAACACAGGGCCAAATCTGACGGAGTGGATCAACCATTTATTTGAATGCGCACCAACCTGGCTTCGTCGAGGGCGTCGAAAACTTGTTGTTGAAGTTGCTCAGCGCGTTGACTTGTGGCAGCGCGCTGAACCTCGCGCTCACGCTGCAAAGTGTTAACTTGTTCGTGAAGCAGGGTTATGGCTGTGGGCACGCCCAGAGTAGCTTTTGTTTCTTGTAGATGACAGCGGCAGCGGCTGGCTTGCTGCTGAAGGTCTGCATTGGCGCGAAGCAAGCTGTTGACGCGCTCCTCCAAGTGACCAATCTTAAGCTCGAGGTCTGCCACCAAGGCTCTATTTAGGGTGCCGCAGAGCGTGCGTTCCTCTAGCTTTGTTCAAGGGCAACGGGCATGCGGGACAACAATAATATGATAAGATTTTGATTTGAGGCGGCTCTCCGCTCAAGCTTGCAGCATGATGGCATTTTGACCGAAAGCAGCAAGGTCAAACCTGATCCCGCAGGCGCTGGGTGTGGGACAGACGAGCACGCTTGCTTGATCCCCTCGATCGACAACGGCTCCCGCTGTTCATAACACGCTTTGGGGTGACAACGCCATCGGTTAGCTGTGTGGAGTAGGCACCAGCAACCAGACAAAACAGAATGCGTGAGAATTTGCGACGTCAATTCTGACTCAACGCGACGATGTGTGACCTGGTGGATGCATGTATCGTCCGGGTCCTTTTGAGGTGTTTGCAAAGTCTTGACGTTTTCATCGCGCTCGGGCTGCTCTGTGGTGTTTAGGGGCAAAACAGATCGTGCACTTTGCCGAAAACCGCTCAAGCGGCTTGAGCGCCGTGGGCGAGCCGGCTGGGGCGAGCCTGCCAAGGATTGTTGGTGGGCCTGCTCTGTCGAGCTCGAGTCACCAACGAGGGCTAACGCCCGTCGTCGCGCCTGATCATCACCAGCGGATCGCCGAGCTCGATGCCAAACTCGGCTCATCCTAGAGGTCTCCACGTCTGCCGGTGCAAATCCACTTTCAACAATAGCGTCCTCTCAACCACCGTGTCTTGTGCATCAAGTCTCAAAATGCCATCGCTGGCATCAAGACGCTGCATGCAGTGGGAGAACCTGACAAACACACCAAGAGAGAGAGAGAGAGGTTTGAATTTCCGCGCCAACCCCGATAATACACACGTAAATGCGGGATTCTGGGATGACAGCAATCATGTGCGTGGGGCCGGTGCGTGGGAGGGGAGAGAGAGAGAGAGACTGAGAGAGAGAGAGAGAGAGAGAGAGAGAATTTGAATTGGCGAGAACGTTCTTCCTTTGTTTCTTTCAGCTCTCTCTCTCTCTCGCGCTTCTCTCTCCTTTTTCCTTGTTTGTGCAATTTATTTGCTCCAGGTTCACTTCTTTGGGGCTCGGGGCGTTGGTCTCTGTCGCTGCGAAGAGGCGGAAGGAAGTAGGGGTCAAGCCTGTGGTTCGTGGCTTGTGCCGTTGGCCAGGATTGCTTGTAATCCTTTTGGTTTCGCACTGCCATCTGGCTCGTGCTGCTGGCTGGACGGGTCAGTCGCACCGCGTCATGGCCAATCCCGACCAGGTGCTGCAACTCTATCAAGAGGCCCTTGCTATCGGCCGTGCTTGGGCCGAGTCGGGTATCTCTGCGGATCTTGGTCTCTTGAGCCAGAACCTTCCAGATGTTATGCTTGAAGGTGAGGCCTCCATTGGACGGTTTCAGCCTGTGGCGAATGTGCTGGGCAAGGGATTGTCACTTCACGAACATGGTGCACCCTGGCGCCCTCGGGCGCAATAGATTTACACGCCGAGATCTTGGGCGTGGCGACAGCCATGGTCTTGAACGTGAGCGAAGGCCGCAAGCTGGCTCTCTTTCGCGAAGAGGTGGGTCACATCGCTCACACAGATCTCTACGCCTTGGCTAATGTTCGCCGCACCATGACAGATTGATCGATTCATGCGGGAAAACGATGCATATGGTTTAATGGCCTCGCGCTCTGGCGAGCCTTGGTTTGCCAAGGTGAGTGAGCCTCGCCGCTGGTAATGGTGCCCATCATGCTGTAGTGCCACTTCTGCTGCTCTCTCCAGACCGGCTCCGTGACAGCCTTTTGCACGACGCTGCTCTCTAGGATATTGTGCAGCTTGTGTGCGAGCTGCTGCTCTTTGAGGACCCGAGTAGCATCCAGCGCGAGCTGGCTGCCGTGGTGATGGAGCTGGTAATCGTCTTTGGCTACGACGCCATGACCCTTTTGGGGTTTGTGCTGGTACTTCGATGCAAGTACATGCTGGGTCGGGGCAGCACGCGCCCTGATGAATCAGGTCATTTGCTGGACTTTGTCACCACCGCCATTCGGCAGGCCAATGCCTACCTCATCTCCGAGCACGCGGGCAGCGCTGATCTGTCCCAACTTGTGCAAAGCCTGTCGCTTCCTTATTAAGATGCTGGGTCTTTGACTCAGCTGGCTTTTTGAATGTTTCCGTGTTGTCCGACCTGTGCTCGATAAGCTCCAATAGAAGTGTTGCGTGCGCGATGGCGTTCGTGGCGGTAATAATTTCAAAGGATAGGCTCCTGCTTTTCTATTTCAATTATGTTTTCCAGGTTGTCATGATGGTCAGGATTGGCTGCTAAAAGCTGCAATTGATTTGGCGTTCCCCACGGCGTGTTTGAAAGGACCCGAAGCCAGGCTACAGCTCGTCGTGAAAAGTGTTGCGCAGAAGGCGGCGGATGCGACGTTTCATTTTACCGTAGACGTCCTGCAAGTCTGTGTGGATTTCTTGCTCTAGCTTGAGTGAACTGCACAATTGTCCATGCAGTCATGTACCCCACCACGTCAGCCCAGGGCAGCAGAAACCAGACGATGTGCAGTGGCAGCGAATCATACCGCACACGACTCAGGGCTTGGCAACACTCCATCGTCTCAGCTTGAGATAACTCGTGGTCTCCATTGGCATCGCATGCCCGAAACACAATGTAGGCCTATTGTTGATGGCTCGGGTGAAGGGAGGTGCTCGAGACTGCGGTGCTGCCAAAAACCATGGACGATGAGGCAACCACTGCAAACCTCATTGACGCAGTGGAGGAAATGGCGCAAGTCGGCAATGGCCATAATCTCGCTCGTGTCCAACACGCCGTCCTTGTTCTGCGCAAAGCTCACACGCAGTCGATACCTCACCAGGTGAGCACGGCCCGAGGCACGTTGAACTTTGTCAAAGAACACACGAAAACTGGGGAGAGGAAGTCGCAGAAAACGGCAAGCACAACGGCAATGGCAAACGCGGGGGACAGAGCTGACCACATCCAAATTGGCATTGAATTCGCGAATGCGCTCCTGTTCCTCCGAGCTACAGAGAGTCAAGGACGCGGTCAGTCCTTCCTGCTTTCGAGTTGAACGGAGTAAGGCGGGCGCGTGCAGACCGGTGATCAAAGGCTTGGGCCGAAAAGTGATTGCTGGCATCGTCTTCCACCATCATGGTGCCGTTGAGGAATTCAGCCTGGGAAAGGCGGCGATCGCCGTCGCGGTCCATTGTGTCGAGTAATTGACCGGCATGGCGAGCTAGCACAAGCATGTTGAACTCGGGGGCATAAAAGTGCATAAATTCCTCGCTGGACAGTGCGCCGTCCGCGTTGACATCGCTTTGCTCAAAAATGATGGTTTGTAGATTGTCGTCAAGGTTGGCGGGGTGCCGAAAGCCCTCCAAGTCCTCCAGGCGTAGCGACTCGCGACCAGCACGGCGGCAAAGCTTGTCAAATTGCCACCGGGCATTGTCCTCAATCTGAACGGCCCCACGGCTGACGGCTGCAACAAAAAATTCGACCACTTCATCGAGAAAGAGCCGTTGATCACGGTTCCAATCCATGGCTTCAAAGAGAGGCTGCAAATCCTCAGTCGCCACGTCTGCGGCGGTGCAGCGGTCGGGTCCGAGCGTGGACCGAAACTTCTGCTGATTGAAGGTGGCATAGGCCTGGGCAGCCTGCTGTCCTTGAGACTCCTGTGAGCATCGCAGTGGACATGTAAACCGATGATCATGCCGGGCTGGGAAGCGTGCAACTATGAAAATAAAAAAAAGAGCCAACGGTGAACGGAGACAGTACCTCGGCTGCAGCCACGTCGACGTGGTCCAGCAGGCCGTGGAGAATCATCTGAATGTTGCGGTGAGCCATGATGCGAGGCAAGGGGGCAGCTGCTGTGGGGCCAGTCCATGGGCCCAGCAGCCCAAGGATCATCATCAAGGTCATTCCCATGTATCCCCACCTCTGCCTGCACAACTCCATGCCTGTCGGTCGCGAGGGAGCCCTCTGCCACTGCCGCCACCGCCACCGTATCTGATCAAATTTTTTTTATGTTTTCTTTCAAGAGCGGGTCTTGGGCATCGAGTCAAAACACACTCACTCGTTTCGCCTGCTGTTGCTACGATGAGGCAATCGCCAACTTCACTGCCTTCGCCCTTGTTGCTTTCTTGGTTGTTGCATGACTGTTGCAACCCGTTGGTTGGAGCTCTTACTCTGAGAGAGAGAGAGAGAGCGAGAGAGAGAGATGTGTGTGTGTGTGTGTGTGTGTGTGTGTGTGTGTGTGTGTGTGTGTGCTGACAATTCCATGCAGTGCACGTTGCACACATGGTTGAATATGTGAAAGTGATTACAGTGCCCTTACACCCTCACACACCCTCTCACATTTTTCTCTCTCGCTCGCTGGCAGCGCCGAGTCATTTTTCGCTGCTCGGCGCCGTTCAGCTTGATCTTACTCCATCAGGTGCCGCGTAATATCTCGCACGCGGCTTCAAGTTGGTTCTTAGCATCATCTCATCGCGACTATCACCGGGTGAGTCACTGGAGACTTTGTCCACCATGAAGCTAGACGGGAGGGGAACGGCTGGTGTGACCAAGCACCGAAAGCAGACGGCACTGAGGCTCTGAGTTGCGTGCGAGCTGGCTCACTGGTGTCTTGCCCCATTGTCTTTCAGTGACTGTGTGGCACCTCTGCTCAGAATATCTGCCACGACTGCAACATGGCTAGCGTTGCCAGTCGCCAACAGGACGTTGGCCTGACCAAGCCGGCAACTGCCAAGACCAGCACGACCAACACCGGCAAAGCTGGTCCCAAGGCTCCTGTCCAGCCGCGCCAGGAAATGGCTGATCCACGCACATGCAATCCCCGGCTCTTCCCAGGCATGCTGGCATTGGCCCTTTGCGCACGCAGCAATCAACACTCTGCTCAGGCCATTGCAGAAGGACGCGCCCGCGAAGCCAACTCACGCATCGTCAACTGGATGACGGCCGAATGGCTCCCCAGCACGAACAAAAACTTTGAGCTTTTGACTGGCCGCGTTGGTGACTGCACCTACTACTTTTTCTCTCGCACAGCGCGTGTTGTCTGTGAAGATCTTTACGGTGGCTTTGTGGCCATTTACGCCCCCAGTACCACTGCTGACAGCAACACCCAACCCTCATCTCGTGCCTCGAAAGACCTCCTGTGCATTGCCGCTCTTCACAAGGTCTGCAGGCCTCATTCTTTGCCCTGCCCCGCGCTCCGCCGCCGCTTCTCCCGTCCCCAGCTCGCAGCAGCGTCCTGGTTTGATTGTTTCACCCCATTTCTCCCTGTCCCTCACCGCGCTCTGCTCTGTCTGACCAGGATGAGGCCATTTATGCCTGGGATCTTGCAAGCTTGCTGACACAAGGTTTGAAACGACTGGCTGCTTAATGTAGAGCCTCAGTGCCTCAAAGACATGTCGCTGTCTCTTCTCTCCCCTTTGCTCTTTCATGCCTGACTCACCTTGCGTGTTGACTCGTTCCTATGGTCCAGGATCCTACTTTTTGACCTTTGGTTTGTCTATCGGCTTACCTGCCAGCGTTATCGTGCCCTACCGCCAGCGCCTCGAGCAGCTCTTGGCTTTTCCCGAGCTCTCGCAGGGGCAGCTGCCCAACATGGCCACCCTTTCAGAGCACCTTTCGCAAATCACCTTTGAGGCCGGGTGCAAGCTTCACGATATCCTAAAGCATATGGTCGCGGCCTGGTCTGGTCCTGGGCCCTTGGCTGCTGATCCTTTGCTCAGTGCTGCTGGTCAGGAAACCCTCTTTGCACGGGGCGATGCCTTTGAGCGCCAGTCAAATCAGCCCGTGGCTCCATTGGAAGTGGACCGGGCAGATCTTTCGCCTGACCTCGTGCGTGCCGTTGACACGTACAACCTTTGCGTTGCCGTGTCTAATAAAATTGACAACGGCCAAGGTATGCTTCTGCCTGCCTTTCCCCCCTCCTCTCCTCCTCCATCCGAAAGCCTCGTTTTTTTTTTCTTCTCTCTCTCTCTCTCTCTTTCTCTCTCCCTCCAAATCTCCAAATCTCCAAAGCTCGCCCGCTTTAGTGCCTTGTGTCACCACTCACCACTTTGTTTTGGCCATCTGCACAGAAGCACCATCGCGCGAAGTCAAGTGGGCTGACTTGGACGATGCCCTGAAGGAGCTGGTTGAGCACGTCATTTTGTGTGGCCTGAGCTATGTCTCTCATCTAAAGATGCCACACTCCCTCGATACCCAACAGAACAGCTCCATTTTTACTCGCAACTGCATTGCTCAGACCATTGTACGCACCTCGGGTGTAATGCAGCCACCTGCCCGCAGTCCCGGTTTGGATAGCGTGCTGGCTGATAAGCGTCCTTTTGAGGATCTGGTTCTGCACGCTGATCTTGACAATGAACACACCATCATGCCCGACGCCCTGCGCGAGTACATGCAAAGCGCCACGATTGATAACATGATGACACAGATTCAAAACGCCATTGATACTTTCACCGAGCGCAAGTCAGCCAAACTTCTGGCTGATGCGTAGTCCTTTCTTTCGTCTGGTCTCATTCAAGCACGAAATAATTAGAAATGGCTTGGCCTGGGCGTTGCTTGTTGGCATGCCTTTGAGGTGTACGCCGGATCCCCTTCATGCTCACGCTGATGCCAGCCATGCCTGCCCCGACGTGTGATCGCCTTCCAACTGGCTTATCAGCTTTCAGCGCATTTATTTTCTTGGGTCGTGTCAAATTGGCATCTCTTCTCCATTGCTGAGCAGGGTTAATTGAAAGATGCAATTGTGTGCCCCATTGACACGCTTTGGCGCATGGTTCGTTGATGACCCAAGCCTTTCAGCACCTTGAAGCTCCCCGAAAGCATCACCAACTTGGGATTGAGGGCAGGGCAGCTCGAGGTGGGTGGCACAACCACAATTTTGCACACAAAGGGTGCAACGGCTCACATAACGTAAGAAGCTTTCCTCATCTTGACAACACAGCCCAAGAAGCGCTGTTCCGTGGCTTTTGTTGCAAACTGTCAACCATGATTTTGACGCAGACACTTTAGTTTGTGCCAATGATGCCTGCCTCGGCCAGCTTGGCAATCTTGTTGGCAATTTCCGGGTTCTTCAAGTGCCTATCGACATGCAAGATAACAAACACACACACACACACACACACATGAGGCCGGTTGACAGACGGACACACCCTGGGCTCTTCGATGGCGATGCTTCAGCGGCTTGGCAGGCACGTACTCGCGCAGCGCATTGGGATCCTGGCTCATCTGTTGCAGGATCTGCTGCATGACTGGATCTGCCATGATTTGCTGGATCTCGGGGTCCTGCATGGCTTGCTGTGCACGCTCCTCGCGGCTCAGACCAACACCCCGCTTGCCCATGGCCACCTGCAAGATAAAAGGAGATCCCCACCAACGGGCAATGCAGTGAGCTAGGCCGAGAAACCAAGGTTGCAGTTGCTACCACCGCCTGCACACGCACGTTTCGGAGTCCTTCGTGGGCCTCAGACACATTGGGGTCCAGCTCGAGCGCCTGTGAACAATGCAGGTGGTCGCCGTGCGTTAGAAGAGAGCTCAAAGGGCTGCACGCTCGCGGTCAGTGCCTTTTCGCTCTGCGTGACGTACGCGGTTGTACGCCTTCTCAGCGTCGGAGAACTGTTTCAGCACAAGATGAATGTTGCCCTTGCGCAAATGTCCTACAACACCAAACACATCTTTAGTCCTGATGCACAACAACACGTATTCACGCCATAGTTCATGACACACCCTTAACAAACTCCGGGTCCAGCGTAATGCAGGTGTTGCAGTCATCCAGCGCCAGGTTGAACTCGGCAAGCTTGGAGTAGGCAGCTGCACGGTTGCTGTACAACTTAGCATCAGATGGGTCGCGCTTGATGGCATCCGAGTAAAACTTCAGGGCACCCGGGAAATCTCCAGCCTTGAACAACTCGTTGCCTTGAGCCTTGGCCTCTTGAGCCTTGGCAGGGTCCAAATAAGCTTTGCGCTCCTCCTCCTTCAAAGCCTTTTCGGCCTTCTTGCGCTGGGTCAGGTAGTCTGAGGCACGGTCGTTGGCGATGGCCTTGTCATACCACCGCACGGCGTCTTTCCACTTGGACTGAACCGAATAAGCCTTGCCAACTCGGGCATAAGCCTTGGCAATCAGCTTGTAGTCGGCACGGTTATCCTGGCCCACCTTTAAAAAAAAAAAAAAAAAATAAAAAATAAAATGAAACAGAAAAGAAAAAGCAAAAAACGACAACACACATGTGGATATCAATGCGCTTGACAATGCTCAAAATGGGGCATCTCGTCCAGGCCTGGGTGTGCTCCAGATCGTTTCCTTTGCCATGGACGTACCTCTGCTGCCTTCGTGCAGATTTCGATGCAGTTTTCAAAATCCTTCTGCTCCAGGTACACAGCTCCAAGATTGAGAAGGAAAACCATGTTCGTTGGCACAAGCTCCGAGGCAGCCTTGTAGTGCTAAACCACGGTAGGCAACAACGAGGCCCCACACAGCCAATTATAGGCATGAGGCATGCTGGTGTATGGGTCACAAAGAGTCAATCAAGGGGGGATCGGGGTTGGAACCAGACACGCTGCATTCAGCACCAACCTTGATGGCAGTCTCAAAGTCCTTCTTCTTGTATGCCTGAGTACCCTTTTCTTTCTCGGCCGCAGCTTGCTTCTGCTTTGCCGCAACCTCGGGATCGACGTCTTCAGCGGGCTCCTCCTCAGCCTTGGGCTCGGGCTCAGCAGCCTTGGGTTCAGGTGCCTTGGGTTCAGGTGCCGCGGGCTCATCGCTGGCTGTATCCATTCCCTCGGATATATCAATGTTGTTACCCATCAGCACACCCATGCACATGAGCAGGCGCTGATCAAAGTTGTTGGCAATGGCAGCCGGATTGGCCCGAATGGCCTCGAGTGTGGCACGGAAGGAGGGGTCCGCCAAAAAGGCGGCCGTCTTGGGGTCCGCTGCCAACTTCTCAATGGCGCCGGGGGCCGAGAACATCTGAGCAATCTGCATCATGCCATTGTCTGGCGACTTCATGGATTGTGCCAGGGCGCGTTCAGAGTCAGTCTTGCCATTTTGCAGCATGGCATTGTTAGCATCGTATTTCAGGCCCTATGTAGTCGTCAGTCATTGATGTGAGTGTAAGAACAATCAAAAAAAAAAAAAAAAAAAAAAAAAAAAAAAAAAAAAAAAAAAAAAAAAAAAAAAAAAAAAAAAGCTCAAGCACACCTCTTCATAGGCTTCGAGGGCAGCCGCAAAATCCTTCTGGCCGAAAAGAGCCGCGCCCTTGCGACCGTAGCCCTGCCACGCGCATATGTTATGTGCCAAGACGCATTGGTGTAAGAGCACAGTCCAGGGGCGACAGGCTTCCATCGCACGCTGGTGCCATTGGTCCGTGCGTAAGGCAGTGGTGCCCGGCGTACCTTGCCCCAATCCTTCTTGAGGGCAATCGTCTTCTCAGCATCGGCCAAGGCCTGGTCGAATTGGTTCAGAGAGGCGTAGGAGGCACTGCGGTTGGAGTAGAGCACATGGTTGCTTCCGTCAACCTCAATGGCCTTGGTGAAAAACTCGATGGCCTTTTTGAAATCCTTCGCGGCAAAGGCGGCATTGCCTTGAGCCTTGAGTTCGTCAGCCTGGAATAGTATGGAGAGCTCGACAGGGTTAGAAGGGGTACACAGGAGGCGGGCAACAGCGTTGAGCGGCAGGTCGCGCAAGAGGGACGTGGGAAGGGCCTTCGTACCATGATTTTAGTCACACAAATTTTTTTCTAGCCTGCAACGTGTGTACACTGCACATGGGTCGAGCAGCGCAAGAGCAATAATCAGGTCTTGAGTAGGCGAAACGAGCAGGGCTTCAGGCGAAGCCGCAGCGGATCAGGAACATCAATCTTGACTGGCTGCTTTTCAACGTGGCCAGGCGTAGCCGTTCTCCCTGGTCTCATCTCTCGTACGAAGCCAGCCAAAGCAAACAGAAGAGCGGGTATCCCTTGCGCAGAGCCCTTTTCCCCCCACGCACACCACTCACCCTGATCGTCGTCCGTCCGTCCGTCCGTCAATCGGTCAATTCCGAGAGAGAGAGAGAGAGAGAGAGAAAACTGCGCCAACTCAACACCTCACTGAACAAAACACGTCAGCGTCATCTCAATCACATGCACACACTCACACTCACACACACACATGTGTGTCTTGTCTTTGCTTTTCGTTTGATCTGACATTCGTGTGTGTGGGATCAACTTGTTTCCAGAAGGAGAGCGAAGGAAACGACAAGCAACCCTCTAGCTCATGCTTCTACTAGGAGTGAGGGTGCTCGGAACAAGCTCGAATAAAAAGAATTGGATCATGCTTTCTAAGCCTGCTGGCATTCGGACAATGGGGGACCACGGGTTAAATGAGCTCCTCCGCCTCGTCCGCGGGTATGGTGGAAGGCTCATCCTCATCACTGTCATCGTCATCCTCTTCCTGGTGAACGGCGGTCGGCTTGGTGGCGCTGGTGGCAGGAGCTTCGTCCTCAGAATCGGCCTCAGAGTCCGATGAGCCTTCTTCAACGACGACCCGTCGTGCACCGGCGACGCCGGCTGGCATCGGCCGACCGTCACCCATGTCTGAATCATCGTCCGAGTCCATGTCCGTAGCCAATGTCTCTTCATGCCACTTGCGTAGAACGTCAGGACCCGCTTCCATCCAGTCCTCATGCCACACGCACAGGTCACCGAAATTGGGCAGGGATGCCAGAATTGAGGCACCTTGCAGCGCTGCATGCTGCCGGTGCGGATGTGCATGCACGGTCACCTGGACCGAAGAGGGCAGCAAATGCTTGAGCTCATTGGTCAGCCGCTCAGGTAAGCCGGGTAGCAGACTGCCACCACCGGCCAGGTAAATGTTGCGAGACAATGCCTTGCGCATGTCGATAGGAGACGACATGATGGCGTTGTATACCAAGTCATGTAGGCCAGGTACATCCTGTCGAGCCAAAAAAAGACAGAACAAAAACCAATGAACGGAAAGACAGGGCGGGGGCGGGAGCAAAGACCACAGATTGGGGAGCAGGAGATGGATAGATTGACTGCGGTCAATGGGGTGATGCAAACTTAGAAAAGCACGGATTTAAAGACGAGTTCGCAAAAGGAAGAGGTGTGTGTGTGAGTGTGTGTGTGTGTGTGTGTGTGGCCTAATGCCATGACCTAAAGTTTTGTCGACGCACCTTGCCCCACAAAACAGGCTGAAATAGGCCTTCGGCGCAGCGGAATCGCTGACCCGCAAGACTAAATGTTTTGGTGCCATCAGGCAGCGCAAACCGCCGAACATCCACATGACCCGCATCTATCAAGCCCTTGTCATCATCCTGAGCCGACTGGTAATAGTCGCGCGCCACATAGGCCAGCCGTTCCTTAACGTAGCGGCCTACGTAATGCTCGACTGGCGAAAAGAAGCGATGTCCTGCCTCAGACATCATTCGAGTCAGTGATTCCGAGATGAAGCCGCCACCCAGCCGCATCTTCGTCACGCCCTTTTCAATGACGTAGCCCGAATCAAGGGGAATAATGTCCAGGCGATCACCAATGTCCACAATCACGCCCGTCGTGGCGTTGTATGAGTACATGGACAAGAGGGCTTGATGCTTCATGTACAGGGCTGGTACATTGTACGTCTCAAAGAGAACCTCAGCAATCTTTGCCCGCTCTCGGTCGGAGGTAAACTGTGGCTCTGTCACAATCAAGGGCCGTTCCGTCGACTCGACCTCGAGGCGCTGGAAAAGATCACCATACAACACCTCGAGTGCATCTGCATCCATCGAGTCGGAAAAGTTGGTGGCGCTGCGCAGCGGAAACTGAATGGACGACTTGGTGCGCACCGCGGGCATCAGGGCGTCCATGCCGCAACGCATCTTCCCCGTCCCCTCGCGCGGCTTAGCCACGCACGCAGGCATGTAGATTGACGGCCAGGCCGTGCCTCGAGGATCTGCAAAGCCAGCCCGAGCCGAGCAGCTACCAATGTCGAAAATGAGCGCCAGGTGGCCGTCGGTGCCCTGGCCCGCACCGTCGGTGGTTGCAGCACTGCTACCACCAGCTCCCGCGCCCATACCAGCGGGACCGGCTGCGTGACGACGGAAGGTGTTGGCTTCGTCGTCCAAGGCAGCCTTCCAGTCCTCCAGCTCCTGTGTGCTGCTGGCTCGTAAGGTCATGGTCGTCTTCTTGCGCGGGTCGAAAATTTCAAGCAAATTGCCGCCCTTGTAGCTAATGTCCGAGCCACGCAGTCGGATAAAGCCCGAAGCTCGATCTGACTTGTCATCATCATAGTAAAACAATTCACCCTCGCGCACTTTGAAGTAGCGGCGATGCCAGCGCCGAATCATCGTGGATTTTTGTCGGCCCTTGGGCAACTTTTCCAAGTAACCCTCAATGCGCACGTTGCCCTTGCTAAAGACGTTAAGGAGGGCGTCGCTGTCACCCGACTTGTCCAGCTTCTCGGGGCGACGCGTGTCATAGAGGGCCTTGAGCACGGCCGTGGGGTCCCAATCTTGCACTTGTGCAAAGCGATCCAGGTCCACATCTTCATCACCTGCCTTGAAGTCGATGTTGCCATACTGGTCCACCAGGTAATCGCCTTCGACATGCAGCTGCTTTTCATCGTCGTCGAGCGGAACTGTTTTGCTGCCGCGACGGGCTCCGCGCATGGTTGTAATGGTTTCCACCTTTTTGCGGTGAGCCTTCTCCCCCTGACCCACCACCTCATACGTCGTCGTTGTTTCGACTTCCACAAGCCCGTCCTCGTCTGCCCGGTGCAAAGCCCGGGTCCAGCGGTCCAGCAGCTCAGCTTCCTGTGCCTTGAGCTGCCACTCCATACCGGACCGAAGAAGAATATCCACGTGCTGAGCGGCAATGCCCAGGCCCTCCAGATCAGCGGCTTTCAGGCCCGTGACCACGCGCAAATCGTCATAACCCGAACCGACAAAGGTCTCCACGTACTCGGCCAAATCGTTGCTGCGGAGCCAGCCAGATACCGTCACAGGCAGGGTGCTGATGACAGTTTCTTCTGTCTGAGCCACGCCGTCCTCGGAGACAGACTCACGAACTGACTTGCGTTGTTTGGGCACGGTAACGCGCACGGGTCGGCCGTGCTTTACACGGTCGGTGGCGAGTGAGTCAAAAAGGTCCTCATCGATAGGCTCTTCGTCCAGGGTGGCAGGGACGGCCTCCTCCTCATCCAGACCGGCAGCCTTGGCTTTGAGGCGGTCGGCCAGCTCAAAATGAGTGGTGCAGCCGCGAAAGCTGGTGCTCGTGACTTCGCCCAACATATCAAGGTAGCTGCGCGGAAGTGCAGCGAGTTCACCACGGTCGTAGTCAGCTAGATTGCAAGTAAACCTTTCAAGGCGGCCCAGCTCAAGGAGCTCCTCATCAGCCTGTAAAAAGCGGTGGAGCTCTGGCTCATCATGCAACAGTGGGTCACGTGCAAGTAGGGTAAAAAATTGACTTAGCTCTTCCAGGGCCACGTCGTCCTCGGATATTTCCGGCAGCTTTTCAGCCACGGGCTGCTTGGTGGTGGCCTGCAGCTCATGTGCAATCCATTCAATCTCTTCCTGAGTACGACGCACAGTGCTCTCCGAGGCTTTGAACCGCGTCTCGTCTGTGACAAAGTGTACTTCATAGTCCATGAAGGAGTCTTCTTCCCACGTCCAAGTCATCGGGTTGCTGATGCTCACGCGCGTGGGCACGTGCTCAGCCTCAATATCATGCAAGAGGGCGGTAAGAGCTGCAATCGCATCGTGGTGCTGACCATGGCCAGACGGGCTACTATGTTTGGGGCTCGCGTTGCGGCTGAAGCCGGAGGCCTGTGAGGCTAGAGACCGTTTGGAGAACAGGCCCATGCTCGCCAATACTGCAAAGTTGTCATCATCTATCGCGCACCACAGGTCGAGCCGCACGAGGCAGAAGACATATGAGCGGTCGACGCGCTGACAGACACAGACACAGACACAGACACAGACACAGACACAGACACAGACACAGACACAAACACAGACACAGACACAGACACAGACACAGACACAGACACAGACACAGACACAGACACAGACACAGACACAGGCACAGACAAAGAGACAGAGACAGAGACAGAGACAGAGACAGAGACAGAGACAGAGACAGACACAGAGACAGAGACAGAGACAGACACAGGCACAGGCACAGACACAGACACAGACACAGACACAGGCACAGACACAGGCACAGAGACACAGAGGCGGGCAACCAGGCAGACAGCCAGCCAGGCAGACGTCAAGATCCTGCATTTACATAGGCACAAGTGCACATAAAACAAACGAATAAAACAACAACCCTCCCACCACACAATTATCAAGCACGAATAATGGTAAACCTTGGCCATCAAGCTTGATGAATTCGGCGGCCGTCGTTTCCTTGTCCTTGTCCCCATGGTCTATGTTTTCTGTGAGCACGTTTGGTGAACAGGAAATGTCAAAGTGAGGTGGCGACGCGCGGCATGCTAAAATCGAGCAAGGTTGATACAACATCGGGGAAGAACAGGCTGGTCAAACTTGGGGCTTGGGGCGTAGCATACCAAGGTCGAGGTCGCTGAGGTCATGGAGCGGCAGGCCCTTGGCTTGCAAAAGGGTGTTGCAATCGAGAAGCTTCTGACGATAGGCCTGGCGAATGCGAGCCACACGCGCATAGACTTGTCGCGTGAGCCGGGCGTCACCGTCAGCCTCGGCGACGGCCTTGCGTTGAAGATCCGGAAGCAACCGCAGCTGTTGTTCCAGTTTTTGCATACCCGCCTCCATGGCACGAGTTTCTTCATCTCCAGCAGTCGGAGCATCTACGGCTGAGCTGGCTTGGAAAGCCGCAAAGAGGTCTTCCTCTTCCTCCTCATCAGGGCGGTGTTGGCGGAGAAGGCGAGCATAGCGTTCCACCACGCCGTTCTCATCGTAACGCTCGAGTGGCGCAGGCAACAGGGAATGGAAAACAGAGCGCAACACCTTGGCGGCCTCAGCCAGGAGGCCATTGACGGCCAGCACGTCAGGATCATCATCATACTCGGCCAGCTCTTCTTCGCGCATCGGAAGTGGAAAGGGCAGGGCCCCAAGGCCTGATTCAGAGCTGAGTCCGACCGTGGGGTCAGCTGTATCGTCGGTTGAGGCGTTTTCGGCGTCCGCAGCAAAAGGGTTGACGTCGCCACGCAGCGAACCGCGACGAAGAAAGTCGGGGGCAAAAGGGTCAGCCGACTGCCCTTGCTGTAGACGGCGTTCGCGGGCTTCGGCGCGCTTACGAAAAGCTTCCTCACGGCGCTCCACCTCTTCGCGTTCCGCAGCCTCAAGAGCGGCCTGAGCTTCTGCTGCACGGCGCTGCTCGGCGTCTCGCTCGGCTTGCACCTCTTGCTGGGCCAACTCGAGGGCCATGCTTGCCTGCAAAGCTTCGTGCCGGGCTTTCTCGACGCGCTCTTGCTCTTCGGGGGTCAGCTCAGGCGCGGGTTGGACCTTGACTTTGATCGGAGCTGAGGGGCCCTTTTCAGCCTTGGGCGCTGGGGCTTGACCGCCAAAGGGGTTCCAAGCGGAGAGGCCATCGGTGGCAGTGGTCGGCACAGCAGAGGAAGGGGTGTCGCTCGGGCTGGAGGCGTCTTGCGAGGGTTCAGCGGCGTCATTTTTGGGCAAAGCGGACGCCGCCATAGCATCGTCTGACGCGTCCTCGATCACGGGGCCTGATACAGCCGACTCTGCTTGATGCGTTTCTTGATGATGGTCAGAATGTGTCAGAGGTGATGGGCTGCGGGTGGATTTGGTGCTTGAACTTGCACTGCTCTTTTTGGAGGGGTTGGCCTTGCCCTGGCGAGCACTCTGAGCCTTGGTGGTTGACTTGGTCTCGGATGCCACGGTCTTGCCTTTAACGCTGGGTTTGCGGGTCGAGGCGCTTCCGGCTGCCGTGACTTTTGCCGAATTTTGGGTCGAAGCCTTCCTGGCCACTGATGTTTTGGTGGTGGCAGAGGTCGGGCGACCTGCCGCACCCTTGGTCGACTTTGAGCCCGTCGACGTTGTGTTGTTGGCGGCGGACTTGGTGGCTTTGCTGGCAGTTTTACCGGTGCCGGCACTGGTGGCAGCAGTCTTGGCGGTCTTAGCAGTCTTGGCGGCGGCACTGGCCTTGGTTGGCTTGGGTGCTGCGACTGTTTTTGGGGTCTTTGAGGTAGAAGCCGGTGCTTTGGTAGCAGTGGACTTGGCCGAGTTGGAAGTGGATGTTCGTTGAACTGGGCCAGCAGGTTTGGGGGACGAACGATTGGGTGTGGGCCGTGGTGATGATCGACCCCTGGATGCGGTTCGGGTGAGGGAAGACGCTCCTGTCGTCGTGCCTTTGGCAATCTTACCAGTCCCAGCTTTCTTCTTGGAGGTGGCCTTGACGCTGGATGATTTTTTTGGGGTCGGGGTCGTTGCTGGTGTAGACGTTTCGCTGCTGGTAGTGTCCTCTGCGTCACTGCCCGCACCCGTAACTGGGTCTTCAGCAAGGTCCTCAGGCTCGTTCGCGGATGCGTCTTGGCCATGATCGCGGTCAGCAGACGCGACGGTGTCATCGGCCGCAATCGACGCTGGATCCTCAGAGGCATCACCCTGATTCTCTGCCTCAAGCTCATCGGTTTCATCATTGTCCTCATCCATGCCAAACAAAAGTCCGGTGGGAAGGCCTCGAGCCTGGTGTGCCGCCGCCGGTTGTGAGCTGAGATTCGCAACTAACAGATAGCGTTTGACGTGCACCACGACCATGCGCGAGGGCTCACCTGACCAGCACGGCGTTGTTCGCGCTCTCGAAGACGTCGTGCATTGTAGGCCTCTTCATCTTCCTCCTCGTGCTCAGGCGCGTCAATCTAAGGCAATGGAGGCGGAACGGGTGGGCATGGATCGGCTTGATTTGAGCGGATGGTCAAATTTCAGTGCCCAAGCGTGTTGCCGAGTGAGAATTTACGAGGCCAGTACCTGTGCAGTTGCAGCTGGTGTCGCACCTCCCTACCAAGTCACATACACAGACACAGACACAGACACGGACACAGACACAGACACACACACAGACACAGACACAGACACGGACACAGACACAGACACACACACAGACACAGACACAGACACAGACACAGACACAGAGGCGGTGAGCTGCTGCAAGAGACGCAGTGGCATCGAGCCGTAGACCACGGGGATACAAAGTGCATGCGCGAACCATGGTTGATTTCATGTCGGCTAGGTTATCATCAAACATCTTCATCATATCAGCAGCCTCTTGCCGCGCACGAGCAACGCGCGCAGCCTCATCCTCACTCTCCGCCATGACTTGAGGTGTTGCTTGAGCCCAACAGCGCCTCCCCGACCTGAGTCGAGCGCGATCAGCGGGCGCACAGTCCTTGCTCGTTCACTGTGCGTCTGCGCGAAAGAAGCCAAAGACCATCATCAACAACAACAACAACAAAAAGCAAAAAATGATCTTGATCAGAACAGGTGTTGTTGCCGACGTCCCGTCCATCCTTTCCAAAAGTTGTCGGACTACCGAGTAACACTTGGTACCATTAAGATCGGCTGACATTCTTGGTCACAACAACTTTTCAACGGCTTCAAGCCGTCGCTGGCCTGTTGGGGGCTGGAATGCAGCACAAGCTCAAAGTGTGACATTGTCAGACTTAACAGCAGTGAACCAAAGGACGCGCTTGCATTTGTTGTAACGGCGGCGATTCGCTTGACCTCAGCCGCCCGACGTTCGCTGTTTTTTTTTTTTCTTCTTCTTCGCAGCGGCAACGGCAGCTCCATTCGACCGGCTTTTGGCTGGAGCTGCATTTGATTGCCCCCCTCTCTGCCAAGGGAAAGGCAAGGAAGCAAGTTGCATTTCCTTTTTGGGGAGACTAGGACGTGTGGTGGTGCAACTTCCCCACCGCCTTTGTCTCTCCACTCGAGCCCTCTGCTCTGGACTCTGCTCGATTCTTTGACTCGTGACCTGATTGACCCGACACCATGTTCTACTCCGATGTGATCTTGGCCAAGCGGTGAGTTACAAACGTTTGCGAAAGATGGAGGCCGTCCGATTGTAACCTTCTGTGGGCATGCATCTGTCTCTGGCGCCCCCCTGCTTTTTTTTTTTTCGCCTCGTCAAAGGTCGCGACGTACCCGGCTGCCCCTCATCTCCATGTTCGTCCTCGAATGCTTGTGCTATCAGCGGTGCGCTGAGCAAAGTATGGGTGGCAGCTCATTGGACCAAGCGGCTGACCCGTAAGCAGATCAGTGATGCCAATGTTGTTGAGGCTTGCAATACCATCATCAAGCCGCCAGTCGAGCTAGCCCTGCGCACTTCAGGGCACTTGCTGCTCGGCGTGGTGAAGATCCACGACGAGAAGCAATCGACCCTCGTCTCCGACTGCAACTTGGCCTTTCATCGCATTCAGGTCCGGCCGAGATCTTCCCGTTGACTGGTCTGGGACTTTGCCGCCTCGTTCTTTCGCTGTTGGTGTCGGCAATGAGGAGGATTGGCGATTCTGTCGACAAATCGTTCCCGCCAAAATCCCTCTGTGAATTCTGACACCCCAGGACGTCTCTCTAGCGTGTGCCCCACTCACAACTGCTCGTGTGCATTCCTCTGATGATTGGGTGGTGGCGTCTATGGCGTTACATAAAGGTGGTCTTTCGCCCAGATGCCGTAGACGCTCCCAACACCACGGCTGCGTATGCCACCATCACCATGCAGGACGAGCTCGTGGACTTTGACGACAACATGTTTGACGAAGTGTGCGTCCTGGTTGTCTCATTTCTCATGCTTGCCACTTGGTGCAATTGTGATTTGGTTCTCTTGGCCATCGTGTTTCGATTTTCACGCCCCGTGGGCGCACAAAACTCATGGTCTCATGCTGACTTGTCAAACCCCTATCATCTGATAGAGAGTTGCCACCCCACGACGAGTTTATCGCCCCTCGCGACGACCTCATGATGGAGGAAGACTTTGTCACTTCATCTCAATTCCACGCGCGGGGGGCCGCGGACGAGCTTGATGATGCTTTCCCACCATTCATGGAGCCGGAAGTGGGTCGTCACGACACCACCGTCGAGCAGGGCCGCGATCGCGATGACACGACCATGTTTGAGGATACAATGGACAAACCCATGGAAACCTCCATGGCCCGGCTCAGCCCTGATCCCTTCCCACCCATGTTGGAAGACATGCCCGAGCCAGATTTGGCTGAGCCAGATGCGGCCCAACTTCAGGGCGGGGATGCCGCAGCTGACACCACCATGCCTGAATTGCCGGCAGCACCACACACGGCCACAGTGTGGAACGTGGTGGAGGATGCAGATGAAATTGAACTGCCGGCACGCGCCGCAGCCGCGCCTGCGCCAACTCGGCAGGGCAATCGACTATCCAAGCGCCGTTCGCGCAAGCTCGTCATTGACGCCGTCACCACCATCACCAATGCTGAGATGAAGGCCAATCTGGCACCTGGGGGCAACAATGACCTTTCTCTGCAACCCTGGAGTGCCGAATTTTGGTTGGCCGAGTGGCCGCAAACGGGCCAAAAGCGGCGCTTTGAGGAGCATTTTGACCTGACTGAGGCTTTGCAGCCCTCTCTGGTGGCGATTGCCGCCAACCCCACGGTCGCCGGCGTGCTGCGTAAACGATTCCGGCCCGTGCAGCGGGCTGATTACGTGCCCGAGCGCATTGTTGAGACAGAGCTTCCCTTTGTAAAGGAGGATCTGCCCGAGCCTGATGCGCCAGACTTCAACATGACCGAGGATATGCAGCCTGGAGCGGCTATCGACTTTGATTTGGAGCCACCCGAGTTTAACGACCCGCTTGTACCAGAGGCTGACACGGAGGAGGCCACAACCTCACTTGCGCAGTCAGCACGCAAGGCGGCGCCCGTGCGTGGCCTCGATGACGAGGAAGACGAGGAGGAGGATGAGATGCTAGTCACGTCGGCGCAGTTTGAGGCCGCGGGCTGGTCCAAGCGGACCAAGAAAATGTTGAGCAACTTTCAAACATACTTTCAAGAAACTGATGAGCTCAGCTATGAGACGCTCACGACAAATCACACTCGGTATGATATGCGTGCGACGCAACAGGGTCAAGGGACGGCGGGAAAGCCTCGAACTGTTGGCTGGGGGTGTGCTATATTTCCATGTCCTGTCTTGTACACACGCTCACGTCATTGGGTGGTGCTACTCCTGACCATGGCTGCGCTTGGTGTTGCGTTTTAGGCGGGCTGCGGCGCAGACGCTATTGGAGGTTCTCGTTCTCAAGTCCAAGGGCTTTATTGACGTTGAACAGGCTGAGCCGTTTGGCGACATTTCCCTGACAGCGCGCCCGCTGATGATGCAGTCGTGATTGCACAACGTGGGACGCCAGGCCGTTACGAATGAGGGCTGGCTTATTCGAATCGGACGTGTCCGGCTCTTACCTTTGTTCTTACCCCAGAGGGTTTTTGCTTTTGTTGGTGAATCTCGGCTCGTCGCTCTGTGGCTGCCTGCTCATGGCGTCCTGCCCTGCCTAGCTATGCCCAGTATCTTGCCGCTGTACAAATGTGTACTGGCCTCTCTCTTGCGTGTTTGTTTGCTGGCTTTTTCGTGTCGTCTGCGTGTCGGCTGCGTACACGTGCATGGCGGGCCATGTCCATTCTATCGAGAGGTTGCGAGGCACCAAAGCCGCTGCTCTTGTTGGTGTCAGCCCAATATTGTCTTTGTATGCTCTGCTACTTTTTCTTCTCAGTTTTTGGCTTGTTTTGCTGTCAACTTTCCATGGTGTCTGGGGCTTCTTCTATCCGCCACCGTGTGTGCTGCCGATTTTCCTTGGTTAATTGATGATTATGCACGACACAATGATCATGAAATCCTTTTTCGTGAAAAAAAAAAAAAAAAAAATCTTGGAAAAACAACTGCTCTTGTTCACATGTATGTCAATCAATTTTTGCACAACGAAAATCAAAGTCACTGAGCATCATGGTAGCCAACGCAGAGGCAGCCTTCTGGGCACACCATGCCAGCGCCCTCGGCGAGGCCAAGGAGGCCCTGCTCTCCGGCAAGGCCTTCTTTGAGTCAGTAATGTTGCGTCCTGTTTTTTTTGTGCAAAAATACGGTTCGGTTGGTTTGCTTGACCATGGCTCGCTGCCGCTCTCATTCATGCCTCGCCATGCGAAGGCCCGTGGCCTGGTATCAAGATGAGAGCACGGATCCCATGGCATCCGCCTTGATCATTGGCTTTTACTTCTCTGTGTTCTGCTGGCTGGCGGCTCCCGCTTTGGGAGACTATTCCATCGTCGACCGTCTCTGGTCGATCCTTCCGGCCATGTACACGGTCTGTGCGCCTCCCGCGTCGACCCTCCCCTCTGCATCGTCACATCGTCCCGTTGTCTCGACGCGATCTCACCGGTCTGGGCCACCACGGCCTCAAATTGGGTGTTTGATAGTGGCATTTTGCTTCCAAAGGAGGTTATGACCAACGCCTCACCATCATGGCTCTTTGGACAACCATCTGGGGTGCCCGCCTCACCTACAACTTTTTTCGTAAAGGTAGGCGTGCTGTTGCCTTCTCCCCTCCCGGTCCGCAATGTGCTTCGATCCCTAGCACCGAGCTCGTGTACGGCTGAAAGCCTCATGTGTGGCTATTGTTCGTAGGCGGCTACAAGCTGGGGCATGAGGACTACCGTTGGCCTTATGTTCGGGCTCAGATCCCGGCCTGGTTGTTCCAGGTTCTCAACCTGGTCTTTATCGCCTTCTTTCAGAACTGGCTCCTCATGATGCTCACTGCCCCTGCCTACGTGGCCGTCTTGGTGGATGACAAGACGCTGCAAACAGCTGACCTTATTGCAGCCGGCCTCTTCATGGTCTTTTTGGCCATTGAGGTCGTGGCTGACGAGCAGCAGTGGGATTTTCAGACCCTGAAGCACGCTCAACTGGCGGGCGGCATGCCTCTTCGCGGCGACTTTCGCCGCGGCTTTCTGAGCAAAGGGCTATTTGCACTCAGCCGGTACGAAGGCGTCGCTGCTATAACTGTTTCAAGATGGCCTGCTTCTCTCTTCTGTTGAGCTCTTCCTTCTCTTTCTTCTTTTGCAGCGCCTGCGCTCATCCAGTGGTGCCCTTTTGTTTGGCTGGATTTCTTTGTTTTTCTCCCTTTTGCGTGATCGCCAGCCACCCCAACTTTTTTGCCGAGCAGGTATGATGGTGCACGCACTTCATGTCTGTGGGCAAGGATCGTGCTCTCGCTGTTCTCAACACCTCATGACGACGGTGGTCCATATAGATGATTTGGTGGTCGTTCTACCTCTTTTCTGTAACCTGCACGGGTCAACTGATCAACTGGACCATTCTGGGCCCCCTGATTCTCTCACTCCTTTTCCAGACCTCCACGCCCCTGACCGAATCGCTCTCTTTGCAAAAGGTGAGCCACTGGATCTGTCGTTGGCCTTTCCTTGTACAGCCGCCGGGCATACCTTGCATTGGGCAATCGATGCTCCGTGCATTTTTCTCCAACTCATGATCGTCATGGCCTGCGCGTCCCAGTACCCTGCCTACCGTGTTTACATGCAGACGACCTCGCGCCTGATGCCCTGGTGCCCGGGCCCCAGCCTCGATGAGCTTAAACTGGAGTGAACTGCCTGACATTGTGTGTGTGTGTGTGTGTGTGTGTGTGTGTGTGTGTGTGTGTGTGTGTGTGTGTGTGTGTGTGTGTGTGCGTTTGTGCTGTGTGCCTTCAGCTGCTGTGCGCTGCACATGCCCGGTCTCGCTTGTCTTCCACGTCAGATGCTCAAGGTTGTCGAGATGGCACGTGGTCAACTCAATTGGACGCAAGTCAATAGTAACATGATGGGAGGATAAACAAATCAAAACACACCAAAGCCGCAATCGGAGCATCTAAAGTGAAGAACAGGGGTAGGCCAGGCTGTGATCAAGTCCTTGCCACGATGGGTGGTTGGCGCATAAAACAAAACAAAAACCTCTCGGGAAGGAGGAAATCAGTCCCAAGCAAAGGTCATGTACTTGGCAGTCTCAGCTGCTCGCGCCTGGGCCGCCTCGACATCAGCATCCGTAATGGCTTCGGCCTTTTCGCGCTCCTGTTCCTTGGCTCGGATAGCTTCAAGCTCTATTTCGCGTTGTGCTTGCTCCTGAAGACGCTTTCGTTCATGTTCCTCTTTCATGCGGCGACGACGTTGTTGTTCCTTTTCCGCTCGACGGCGGCGCAACTCATCCAGCTCGCTCTGCAGCTCGCCAAAATCAGGTGCATTGTCCGTATCATAACCAGTCTCATCCTCATCCTCGTCCTCGCTCTCTGCCTCCTGGCCGTCGTCCTCTTGGTCAGACTGGATGGGGCGAGCATAGCTGATATCCTCCTCGTCAAGTGCACCCAAACCAGTGCCCCGCACGTGCACGCGATGTGCACCGTCCTCTTCATCTTCCAGCTCCTCCTTTTCACGGCGGGATTGGTACCAGAGCGGCTGCGGATTCAAGGCCTGGAAGATGCGGCTTCGCTCCGGCTCGTCGGCGTTCTCCCGCTTGAACATTTGCGTGGCTTGCCGGCGGCGCTCCTCTTGCTCTTCAATCTTGGAGGGAGCGTCGATGAAGGAGGTATCAATGCCAGCACCAAGTCGAGACTTGGTCGACTTTTTGTTGGTCTCGGGTGCCCCGGACGAGGCTGCACGCGTTGCGATGGGTGCGGCGAGGGAGAGGGCGTGTGTTGTCGATTCGGAATTGGCCTCCTCGCTACTGATTGGAGTGTTACGATTCGTGGCAACAGCCAGCCTTTCCGTTGTAAACTCCCGGACCGCTGCCCCTACTTCCGGACCTTCATCGCGAGGGTCGTCGATGCTGGCTTTCTCTACCAGGGCCTCCTGCGCCTTGGCCTGGCCAGAGGTCTGAGTGGCAGTCCCAGGAGCATCGTGGTCCTCCACAATGGGCAGTTGATCGCCTCGCTCGATGGCATGGTCCAACGTGAGTACCTCATCGGAACCAGCGTCTTCAAACTTGCTGGACACATGAGATGCGGCCTGTGACGGGTTTGGATCCTGAGCGTCTTGTGAGGCGTCCAAGGCTTGCCCGGATCGACGTCGCTCAGCTCGGACGTCTTTGCCTTGCTGCTCAGCGGCTTCGGCCAGGACAGCACGCGAGTCGGTAATGTCTGGAGTACTGCGGCGGGGCCTTCGATCTTTGCGCCGGATAGAGCCCTTAATTTCTTCTTTGATAAGGTCACCAGTAGCTCGGGCCACACTGGGCGCACCTTCGACAGCCCCGTAATTATTGGACACGACGAGGCGAAACACATACCAACGGTTCTCCTCCAAGCCGGATATGACTGCGCTGGAGATGCGATCACAGCCCGAAACGAGAACGGTCCGACAACCGCCAACTTTGCCTCCGAGCTCAAACTTCTTAAAGTTGGCTTTGGCCCCCGCCTTTTTAACGGGCATGGCTTGCAGGACGATGCGCCCCACGCCTTGACGCAGTGGCTTCCAGCAGAGCAATGCGGCGTTGGCCGTGACCTGGGTGGGAGGAGACCAACCGGTGGTGTGGGGTGGGGAGCGCGGTGAGTGGGCCTGTCACCCGACGAAACGAAGAAGGTGGCCCTAGGTAGAAGAGGCCGAGAGAGGCGACCAGCAAGCACGTTCCGACCTGGACAATGGGTGCCGGCGGTGGGTCTGGGGGGGCCGTAGCTTCCGAGGCCAACTTGAGCTGGATCTGGCTCGGGGTCAGCAGTTCGGAGAAGACCTTGCCACTGCTGGTTCGGCGATTAACCGGCGGTGCAGGTTGCGGACCGGGCATGCCGCCAGCGGCAGCTGGAGCTTGCATTCGAATCTTAAAGGGCATGATGACGCTGGAGAGCGCTCGGCAGCGGCTCAGATTGGGTGCAACAGGTCACGGCAGTGTCCGGTTTTGCCGCCGATGTTTCGCCAAAACGAGGCCGAAATATCTTTGTTGTTTTGAAGGTCTGGCTCTTGACGGGCCAGCCAAGCGAGGGCGTATGGGTGAGCGAGGTGGGATGTACGGGGCCCGCGACAGGCCCAGGGAAGTGCTAGATGGTCGGTGCGCAATGAAATACCATTGGCTCAACAAGGCAGCGGCTGTTTTTTTTTTTTTGTGCCCCTTTGCTTGGATTGTCCTTGCTTGGATTGTTAAGAACAATCGCGTTGTCCGCCCGCAAAGATCTCCTTGTTTGTTGGCGAAGAAACCTGGTCTGGCCGCTGGCGTTGATGGCATGCCAGGTTACATCGGGCGGACACCAAAACAACCCGCCACAAAGTGCATGCATGCAAAGCCCACCACATCGTCAGACACAATGTCAGACAAGGTAATGTCAGATAATGTTTATGCAAATTTATGTATGGATGAAGCCCGGTTTATGTGCGTTGACAGATTGGTACGGGACAGCAGGGTGAGATGCTGAGCGTGCAGGTCCGCAGCTGCGAGCGAGGGGGGCCCAACAAAACGTGTCCCAACTTGCTTGATGTCACGAAACTTCATGGCACGAATCTCCGGGAAGAGCTGGCAGGGATATGGGTGGAGCGCTTGACGTGTTCAACATGGGGTGAGCGGTTCAGATAGATGAGAATGGCAGCGGCGAAACGGAAAATGGGGACGGGGCTCGAGGCGTGGTACTGGGGGCTTTGGCCACTAGGTCCCCAAATCCATAGGTTCACCGGCCAGTGCCGTTTGCGAGCGGGTATCAAATGGAACTTTGTCATCATGTATCGTTGCAATGAGCACGCATGGGCCTGTGCTGCTGCCATTGCTGGTTTAGGGTTGGAAGACCCGTGCCATCCCATGCCAACCTGTGGTCAACCTAGTGCACCTGCCCACAATTCCCGTCAACCACCCACCCCTCTTGCGCTGCGCTCGACGAGTGGGCGAGTGTGACACCGGCCCGACCACCTCCCTGAAGACCCGAGGTGGGTTGTTAGGAAGAAAGAGAACAGCAAGCGGAGCAAGCAGAAACAACATGAAAGGAGTGGTAACCACCCACACCACACACACACACACACCACACACTTGAGTGTAGAGTCAAAGGGGTAAGACACGTATAAATCCCACACCCACACGCCAACGCCTCACATGTGCTTTGATGCACATGTGACTGCAGTACATCTCTGCGGGCTGGTGGCCCGATGGTCATTTTCTTCCTGCTCCTCCCCAAGATCATCACTCTTGACTCGCCCACACCGTCGTCCACACCGTCGTCCACACCGTCGTCCACCCCTGCCTTGGACGTTGTCCACGGCATTGTTGGAGCCAAAGAGTGTGAGCTCGGCTCAATTGGATCATCAGCACCTTTCGATCATGTCGCAATCCCCGGCCCCCACCACGGTCATGGACGTGGACGCGGTCATCAACCAGGCCGAATCTCAGCACAAGAGCCACTACTACCACTCCTCCTCCAATACCGATGGTGTCTTTGAGGATCCGGAGCTGGAGTTTGATCCCCTCACCCTCTCTGCCGGACCTGAAGCCAAGCATCAGCTGGATACCTTTGCCGCCACCGGAAGCGCAGTCAGCCCTGTGACGCTGGAGTTCAAGGACGTCCGCTATGAGGTGGATGTGGGCCCCAAGCGCCTTGGTGCGGTCAAGCACATTCTCAAGGGCATCTCCGGCCATGTCACTGCGGGCGAAATGTTGTCTGTCATGGGCGCCAGTGGTGCCGGCAAGACCACACTGCTCAACATGCTGGCTGGGCGCCTGTCGGATGCCGGTCACGGCCGCTCCTCCGGCTCCATCACCATCAACGGCTACAAGCGCGATTTTGATACCTTTCGCCACATCTCCGCCTACGTCCTTCAGTCTGACTCGTAAGTACGGACCATCCAGCCGACTACCGGCTCACTATGATGGTCCTTGATCCCATCTCGCTTCGACCCAGTCGCAAGGCAACCTTTTGGTTTATATAGCGGTTCTCACCTCATTTCCCGTGTGGATAGGTTTTTCCCCGAGCTGACCGTGCGTGAGACGATCATGCTCTCTGCCAAACTGCGCCTGCCCCACGACATGCCCATGTCTGAGAAGAAGGCCCGCGTTGATGCCATCATTGCCGAGCTGGGCCTACGCAAGGTCGAAAACTCTTACGTCGGCAACGAGCTCATCCGCGGTGTGTCTGGTGGCGAGCGCAAGCGCGTCAATGTCGGCACAGAGCTCGTCACCAACCCCAGCCTCATCTTCTTGGACGAGCCCACCTCGGGTCTGGATTCATTCAACGCGCAAAACGTCATGCAGACGCTGATGCAGCTCGCCGGCAATGGCCGCACCGTCGTTGCCACGATTCACCAGCCCCGTTCGACCATCACCAACATGTTCGACAAGCTGCTTTTGCTTTCCGAGGGCCAGACCATTTACTTTGGCGAGGCTCACACGGCGGTCGACTACTTTGCCCAGGTCGGCTACCCTTGCCCCAGCTCCTTCAACCCAGCCGACTTCTACCTTGATCTGATCTCTCTGGACCAGCGTAGCGCCGAGTCCCAGCGCATCACCACCAAACGCATCGAGTACCTGGTTGGTCGCTACGTCGATCACGCTGCCAAACACGACACCTTGGCTCTCCCTGCGCCAGCGGAAAAGAACAATGCCCCCCCGACCTCGACCGTTGCCAAGCACGGCAAGTATGCCAATTCCTGGTTTACTCAGTTCAAGCTCCTCAGTCAACGTTCCATTCGGCTCATGATGCGCGAGAAGGAGAATAACATTGCCATGATTGCGCAAACGCTTCTTTTCGCCGTTCTCCTCGGCCTTATTTGGCTGCGCGAGGGTGATAACCTCAACGAGGAGGGCGGTGTTACGGCCATTGCTGGCGCCCTCTTCTTCATCCTCGTCAACCAGAGCTTTGGCGGTATTTTTGGCATCATTTTCCTCTTCCCTTCCGAGCGCATCATTGTTCTTAAGGAGCGAGCCTCGCGCAGTTATCACGTTGGCGCCTACTTTTGGAGTAAAACTCTGGCTGAATTACCTCGCACCTTTGTCACCTCGCTCGTCTTTTCCGTCATTGGCTATTTCATGGTTGGCCTCCGCGACGATGGTGACAACTTTTTCCGCTTTGTGCTCATCCTGTTCATGGTCACCTTGGCCTCGGAGGGTCTGGCCTACATTGTCAGCGCCATTGCCAAGGATCCTCAGCAAGCTGGTGCCATTGTACGTTTGTCTTGTCCACCCGTCAGACACCGCTGCCCAACGCCCTGCTTGCCCATGCCTTGCCTTGACTTTTGATACACACCCATCCATCCACAAACACACACGACTGTTCGGTGATAACCTTGCTGGCTTGCGCTCACTCACTGTCTGAATCCTCATCAATCCATAGGCTCCTGCTTTTGTAGTGACAAGCATGTTGTTTGGCGGCTTCTTCATCGGCTCCGACGCCATCCCCGTCTTCCTGTTTTGGCTCAAATACCTCAGCTTCCTCAACTACGGCTTTGCTGCGGCTATGCAAAACGAGTTTTCGGACCGCGTGCTGGCCAACTGCACTGGTGCGCCCGAGGATGACGTTTGCTTTACGCAGGGCAGTGAGGTGCTGGACTTTTACAAGGTCGATGAGCTCAGCTTTGCTGCCAATCTCTGGATCCTTTTGGCCCTGATTGTGGGCTTCCGTTTGATCGCATACTTGATCCTGCTGCGCAACGGTCCCGTTTACGATCTGGCCCTCTAAAATGCCCGAGTCAATCCTGCCGTGGGTTTACAGCGCCGGCACACGCATATTTTTGCTTGCCTGCGGGCGCCTTTGCGTGAGCCCTCCATATGTCCACTCTCGAGGATATACGTGTCCTGCTCTCCAAACCCTCGAGCGGTCTGTGTTTGGCTGACGGATGCCGAGTGTCATCATCCGAGTCTTGCGCCAAAGTATCCATTGATCCTGCTTTGGGCCATAGAATTCAATAATCGGGCGCGTGTGCCTAGAGTGTGAGTCTTTGTGTTCTTCTCCCAGCCTTTGTCCTGAGTTATTGGAATATCACCGAATACCTAGTGTACGATAAAAAAAAAATCAAATTTATGATTAGCTGATAATGTCAACCCCAGCGGGTGCTGCCTGCGGTTCGAACAAGACTCACACACACACACACACACACACACACACACACACACACACTGACAGACAGAAGCTTGAAGAGTGCGCGCACACACACACACACACACACACACATACACACACCATCGTGAAGAAAGCAAGAAATTGTTCGTGTGATCCAAGAGAAGGAAAGGAAGTTTGTCAACCAAGTGTCATTCGTATTGTTCTTGATGAGTCAGTCGGCTTGCTGACAGCAAAAGGTGCACGACGGCACCCACGGTCGGAAGGTGTCAGGCTGCCTTTCGACAGGGAAAAGACTCGGCTGGTGGTTGTGGAAAAGTAGCTGTAGGACACGACGGGGCGCAGGAATGCTGGCCAGTATTAGCGCCACGCATATTGATCTAATCCTGACCACACATCCGTGCTTGCTCGGCATAGAGGGCGAGCCGCTTCTTGTTCCAACCGGCCTTGAGCAGCTAGAGCTCGGACAGCTGTAGTAGTCAATTGTCGTGCTTGTCTTTTTGCTCGAGCATCAACAGGGAACTGAGAGCAAGTCATCCGCCATCTACAAAAACCAGCATCATGCCGCTGCCCAAACGCATTCTGAAGGTATGTGCGTTTGGGGACTGCACTACCACTCCTGCCTTGCCCTCCACCTTTCTGTCCTTCTTGTGTTCTCAGTACTCGAGGACACGTTCACGACGGGTTGCCCCTTTCTCACTTTCCCATTGCCCAACAGGAAACGGAAAATCTTCGCCGGGAGAGCGACGAGAATGGCATCACAGCTGCACCACACCCAAACAACCCGCGTCACTTTTTGATCACCCTTCGCGGCCCCAGTGATGTAGGCTGTCAGCGCTTGAAATCTCTGCATACTGCAAAATTCGACTCAAGCTTGAACTGACTTGTTGCTGGCTGCCCTTCCTCGACCAGTCTCCCTACGAAGGTGGTGTCTTCAACCTTGAGCTCTTCCTGCCCGCAGATTACCCGATGGCCCGTACGTCTCCATGCGCGGTGGACTCAATCTGCTGCTGCCACTACTGGCCGTGCCACGTGCCTCTTGTCAAACTGAGCACCAGCTTACAAAGCCCATGATATCTCACGGTTGCTCTGCGACTCATCTTGCAGCGCCCAAAGTCCGCTTTTTGACCCGCATTTACCATCCCAACATTGATAAAGTAAGATGGCCCATCTCAACAGTTTCCTGCTTGAGCACAACATGAACGAACCGGTGAGGCGTGCGCAAAAAGGGCCCGAGCCTCACATCTTGTGCCCACATCTTGTGCACGTGCTGTCTGCCACAGATTGGCCGCATTTGCCTCGACGTTATCAAGGGTGCGTTGGGGCTTGTCGTTTGGAAACAGTCTTTCATCTACCATGTCGTGAAGATGTTTGCCCCAAAGCTGATACCAATGTTCAAAGGCTGGGCTCACCGATACATCACTCATCCATTTGTGTGCCGGCACGAGCAGACAAATGGTCTCCTGCGCTGCAGATTCGTACAGTCTTGCTCTCCATTCAGGTATGAGATCCTGCACAACGGTTGAATGGACCTGCTGTCACAGGGACGGAGATCCCATGCACACGCCAACGCCTCCCTGTTGTAATCATGTTATTTGTACTTTTAGGCATTGCTTTCGGCGCCCGAGCCTGATGACCCCCTGGACACCACCATCGCCGAGCTGTGGCAAACCAATAACGCCCAAGCCCTGGCCAATGGTTCGTTTGCGCCGCCCCCCGCCGGTCCAGAATGGAGCTTGCTCAATTTGCATTGTCATTCCCAATCTCAACTTACCAGCCTGCCATCGACACTGCCCTTTTGACAGCGCGAGAGTGGACTCGTCGTTATGCTCAAGCGTAGTCAAGTGTTTCTATTGCCCGCATTTTTCATTCCTTTGCCCTCTTGTCATTCTTGTGCAAAACCCTTCGCGCTTTCAGCCCATGCTTACACCTCCTCTCCTTCCTCCTTGTCTCCTTAAACCAATTGAGCGCAGAACAGTCTTTGCATCTTCCCCACTCTTCTCCTGTCCGAGTTGACATTGCCCTCCCTGCCTATTCGCAGGCCACAAACGAGCGGCGCACGCACCCAGGGGCAAGAGAGCGCATTCAGGCGGGCTCAATCTTCATGAGTTTGATCAGGCTTTGCTGACGTTACATTTGTACAAACGATGCAAAAATGGACCAACACACACACAAGCATTCACACAAACACACACAACACAAATGTCATTTGCTTAACAGCAGCAGCAGTGTTTATGATTTTGCTGATGATTTGACACACTGCCTGTTTGGAGCTTTTTGTTCGTTGAGCAGCGAGTTAGCTCACACGGGCAGTGATACCAGTTGTCCGTGAAGCATCGGCATCTGCATGAGACGTGGCGATACAGAGGCAGAGCGGCGACGCAGGTGGAGTGGGGCGACCGTAGGAGAGGTCTTGGATGCGAGACAAAGACAGCATGGCTGAGCGACAGAGTGACAAACGCGCCATCCTCTTCGAGGCGGTGAGTGCGGACTGCTTGCTGTCTGAAGTCATGGGTGATCAGAGGATGGCCATCGGCCACCTCTGCTTGCCGAGTCTTTGGTTGGTTGGCATTGCCATCATTGTCTAGCCGGACACAGCAATCTGCCCATGGCTCGTAAAGAGGCTGTGTCGGCCCTGGACTGCCGTGGCTGCAAGCTTTCTGCGGTGTCAATAGATGCCGAGCAGACCGGCGCGGCGCTGGGTTCGCACAAGCTCGGGCTCACTCTCCTCCTGCTTTGGCTCGCATTAGATGGCCCAAATTATCGTTCAGGGTCGAGTTCATAATGCCGATGAACCCTCGCAGGAAAAGGTCGGTTTCGACGCTGTTAACTCGCGCCACGAAGCTTATTGCGTATCCACCTAACCGAGCATCTCCGTTTGCTAGTCCTTCGGCTCGACCTACTATCGGCACCGGAAGAGCATTGAGGTTGCCCTCGTCTTCAGATCAACCTTAATCTTGTCTGTCCCACCTACTTTATTGCCACCTGACACTGATTGATGTCTTGCGTAGAGCCGATACTTTGAGGCCAGCCAACCTCTTGAGCGCACCAAGAAGGAGGCCATGGTGCTACAAATACTTTTCCAACACGCCAACAAGGTCTCTAGACTAGACCGGATGCCGTCCAGCTCCCATGTCACACCCCACATTCACGAGCTCATATCAAACTTCTTGCCCCACTCATGCGATATTAGGCGTCCAGTCGGGTGGAAATTTGGCGCTTTTACATGTCTGGCAACGTCAAGAAGGAAAGCATGTTTGTACAAACTTTGATGCGCACCTTGCTTCTTCATCTCCGGCTTTTGCCTGCCTACAGGTTTGTGTCTCTGGGCGGCCCCCCCATTGTCGTTTGTCTTGAGCTAATTGGGTGCAGCGCGCCTCACACAAGGTCGTCTCTTTGCGGGCACGGGGTTCATGACTCACTCATCCTGCTTCACTCTTTCCCCTCACATATATGCAGCTACAAAACTCGACTCTCGTCCGGCATGCAGTACGTGTCCCTGTCGTGTGTTTCTTCTCATTTGCTCATCAAATCACTCACCGATGTTCGTAAACCCCTCAGAGCTGTTCAAGCCGGCGGCCACACGGGTTTTAAATATGAGATGCACTTTGAGGACTTGCACTCACCCCCACTTACAGGTGTGGCCCCGAGCTTTTCACGCGCCTCTGGGCTTTAAGACCGTGCGCCAGCGCCTGTGCACTCACCCACCACACTATTGGTGCCGCACCTTTGCTTATGGCACGTATAGAGGGCTGGCGGCGCTTGCGCTTGCTCGATGAACAAACAGTCAGTCCTCTCAACTTGCTTGCTGACTCAACCGATGACAGCTTTCGCGCGGGCATTCATTCGCTGCTTGGTCTCCTCGCTGACAGCCCACCTCACACATTGTTTTTGAGTGTGACTACGTGGTCAACCTGGAAGAGGCCCTTGCGACGCCACAACCCGATATAGGTGCGCGCTGCTCCCATGTGCTTCTGTTTTTTTTTTTCTTTTTTCTTTCCATTTCAAACTCCACAAACAGGCGCAAGACATTAACCTTCTGCCCTCTGGGCGACGGTGCACAATGCAGACGTCCGCTATCGAAGCCGTAGCTATGCTGGAAGTGCCGGTGGGGTGTCTGACTTGGCAACAGACCCCCCAGCTGGATCGCCTGGATCGAGCCGTGCAGCCTCTTTTGCTGGCGGCGCGTCGAGATCTGGTAGCATGGATATTTTGGCAGCGCGGGAGCGCGCCCGGAGCCGCACGCAGTCCCTACGTCGTTCGGGTCTGGCCAATAGTGGCTCTCCCAGCGCTTCTTCGCCAGCTCATTCTGGCCTCGTGGCGGCCCCATCCACCTCTCTTCCCTATGATCGCCATCATCTTGCCGCACATCCCGGTCCGTGTTTAAAGAGTTGGATCATGACTGAGATGGCCCAGTCATGCTTTCAAATTCGGCCAAATGCTATGCGGTGACACTGCTCAATTCTCACACATTTTTGAATCGTGCCCGATGGTGCTTTTAAAAATTTCTGTATTCCTCCCTTCCATGGCCATTCGGGGTTTATAGTCGACATCATGGGCCAATCATGGACGGGACCTCAGGTGTGTACCGTTTTATCACCAGTGCTTTCTTTTCTTTTGTGATGGCGTCCGTGATCTGGCCATCTCGCCACTACTATTGCACATCCGTCATTGCGCTATGCTCACCTCTCAATCAAATCTGGCGCTGCTTTGCTGCCAATCTGGCAGGCTATACCTCGAGTGCCTTCTGTGACAGACTTTAGCCCAATCAGCGGAACTCAAGGCATTCCCATCAGCGCCTCCAATCGCCGCACGTCTCAGCCACTGCGTGCTGCCGATGCTTATGGTTTGTTCTCTGCTTTCCCCCACGCCCGCTGTCATCAAATATCCAACAGACTGAGAAACTCCGTTGCCCCGTTGCTTTTATTTTTCGTCCCCCAACTTTCTTGTATCTCACGTCCGCCAGCTCTCATTCGTGCGCGGGGTGCAATGGTTCGCAGAATCCCGGGCCATGTCTCTTCCCACACACCTAGCAACACAGAAACCGCCCAATGGTGGTTACCCAGGCCACGTGGCTATGGCAGACCGTGAACTAAGCGCATCCACAAGGACTGATGTCGATCCCCTCTTTGAGTTTTTCAAGCAATCCACAGAAGATGTGCGTCGCGCCTTGTTGCTCTAATTTGCCCGCGTGCTGCACCAGAATATTGCGGGTACAAAACACACTCGCCTGATATCAAAACTGTCTGAAATGTTGCAGATTCCGCACAGCCTACGAATGGGCGGCGTCACGCCAGAGGTGCCCGAGGTATCGCGAGTTGAAGGTCCCGCAGAAGAAGAGGAGCTGCCTGAGCCACCACTCTCGCCGCCGCGGATGCTTCGCCCGAACAATTTCGACCTTGATGAGAAACAGCCGGACACCGTCAGCGTGATGGAGCAACAGGCCATGGTTGGCTTTGACGTATGTGGTGATTTCCGCTCGTACGCCGTGGCCGTCTCCAGTACTTGCAAGCTTTATGGCGTTGAAATGAGTACTATTTGGTGAAACTTACTGAATCTCTGTATCTCCCTACGCTTCGTTGCTTGTGATCATCTGACACTTGTGCAGAATCTTCCCTTTGCCAGTCAGCGCGTGGCACCTGTGGAGAATGTTGAGGACCCCGAGCTGTTTTTCCAACAGCCTGCTACCTTGAGCATGTTTCAGTCCACCCGGCTGGAAGAGAGCGTAGCTGACATTGACCGTGACTTGCGCAACACCCGGAATGAGTTTGCCATGTTCAAACAGGTGTGTCTGCTGTCGGCTTTGCTGCTTTAAGAAGATGGTATTGGATTTCGACCGAGCACACAGCAATAGAAGCACAACCATGAGGACGGGGGGGGGGGGGGGGGGGGGGA